TACAAATTATTTTGATGAGTGTATATCGACAATGAAAATTGTATTTTTTTTTTAAGAAAAGAAAATTTATTTTTATGTTAATGGTGACAAAAATCATTAAAACTGAAATAAATTTGTCAGAGACACACAGGCACGCACAGCCACACACCACACTCCACACATAAAAAAGCATAAACACAACATAAACATAATGGTTTATTACAATTTTAATTTTATTTTAAATAATTTTTAATTTTATTGTTCGTTTTTTTCCAATAATTTTTCACACGATATTGTATTTGTTTTTAATTCACCTTTTATTAATTTTTATTACTTTTTTTAATTTGCTCTTATTTTCATTAATCCTTTTTATTTGCACCATAAATCTGTTTTGCCGTTTAATTTTCTTTTTTCTTTCCTGTCATTCATTTAAGGCAGCCAACCCCATTTAGATCTACCGTTACGTTTGCTGCTTTTGAAAATATTTCGTTTTTTCGCTACGTGTCCACCTTTGTATCGTGTTTGCTCACTTCTAATTTGCCAAAAATCATCTTCTGGCGTATTTTGTCTAAAGGAGATGCCATGCTTGGAGATTTTGCTTAAATGTCCAATAGACTTGTTGTTGTTGTTGTTCTTGTTTTTTGGTGAAAAATCCGATCATCTAATGTCTTATTGAGTTCTATGATGAGCACAAAATTGTCTAGTTGTTGGGACTTTCTTTTTTTACCACGAAAAAGACGAAAGAGACATTTTGGTCACACTTTCATTTCCTTTGCCGCCACTAAAAGAGACACACTTATGCATGGGTCTGTGTGCGAGTGTGTGTGCGTGCTCGTCCATGTGTCTCATTATTGTTATTATTATTTTGCATTTTGTATTATCTCTTGTTAATCTGTTCTAATGAGGTGTGTGTGCCACAATAACATTGCAAAACACGGAGAAGAGAAAGTCAATGGAGAGTGAGAAAGACAGAGAGAGAGAGTGCAAATCATTAACAGTATTCCAACAAGTGACACTGTTTTTTTTTTTTTGTCGCCAATTTGCTACCTCATCTCTCCTTGTTGTTGACAGGATTGTTTTGGCGCGATCTCTCTCTCTCTTTCTCTGCTTATATTAAGAACACAGAATATTAATCTCACAGAATTGGGGGGAAAATATGTGTCAAATAAAAGAAGTAAATCAATGTATGGTAGAGAAAATAATCAGGAGAAATAACTGCTTGAGGATTCCATTCGAGTTTTGTGGATAAAGTGGACAAGGGAAATGTAAAGCCTTTATTCCAATAAACAACCGATGTAAAATAGAATCTTGGGGTTTGTTTACACATAAAAACATCATTGGATTTGGCAATTTCATTGCATAAACCATGGTAGAAGAATATAGGTAAACGCATCGACACAGCTGCTGGGACAATGAACTGTCAAACCAATTTTGGAATTGAAAATGTTGAATGAAAAATTATATAAATTTGTAAAAATTGTTGGAAAACATGAATTATAATAACCTCCGAATGACGTCGTATAAGAAAACATATTAAAATCTACTTATATTTTAAAAAACATTTAAATTTGTTTGACATACCAATGCTCCCAAGCGTTGATGCATCTACCTCTATTCTTCTGCCATGGCATAAAGCTTAAATGCAATTTTTATTTGACGTATGCCATGGTACCAGAATATAGGTAGACGCATCGACACAGCTGCAGGGACAATGAACTGTCAAACCAATTTTGAAATTGAAAATGTTGAATGAAAAATTATTTCAATTTGTAAAAATTGTGAAAAAAAAAAACTCGAATTATAATAGCCTCCGAATAACGTCGTATAAGAAAACATTTAAAAATCTACTCATATTTGAAAAAAAAACATTTAATTTTTTTTTTTTTTTTGACATTTCAATGCTCCCCAGCGTTGATGCATCTACCTGTATTCTTCTGCCATGACGTATACACAATGTGATTGACGGTTAATACCTACTGGATCTTAAAAGTGGCGCAAAAGTAATCCTCCAAATGCTATAAAACTGCAACAGAGTCAAAGGCCATAATTTTTATTTTTTTTAATTTGATTAAATAAAAGCAAAAAATGTCGGAAATAGCATCGAATTTTAGAATAAGTTTAGATTTGTTCGAATTGGTCAGCTTTGGCACGAATTAAGGCGAATTATTCACATTTAAATGCTGGAGTGCTCTCACGATAGCAATAGCCACTTGTGGTTTCCATCAAAATATAAAGAAATCACACTATCACGCTTGAATTCCCTCACGAACAACTTTTTGTTCTGGAAAATTCTCACCAAAATGCTTTTGTATAGAATGAGCTGTCACTGGAATAATTTTAACAGCTGTCAGACGAGTGGCTTAGAAATGACAGCAGTCTGAAGTTGGTTGCAGTTGTTTCATCTCAGCCATGGTAGAAGAATATAGGTAGACGCGTCGACACAGCTGCTGGGACAATGAACTGTCAAACTAATTTTAGAATTGAAAAATGTTGAATGAAAAATTATTTAAATTTGTAAAAATTGTTGAAAAACGCGAATTATAATAACCTCCGAATGACGTAGTATTAGAAAACATATAAAAATCTACTTATATTTAAAAAAACATTTAAATTTTTTTTGACATATCAATGCACCCAAGCGTTGATGCATCTACCTGTATTCTTCTGCCATGATCTCGCCCAAAAAACATCGGAATGTATGTCATGTACATATACATGTAAAAGGTAAACTTGGGAATACATAAAGCGCTTATCTGGCTGACATTAGTCATCGGCTGGCTTCTTCGTAGATGAACAAAGGAGTTTTAGGTTGACTTAGTTCGATATTGGCACTAGGCTCCTTTGTTCATTTTCGAAGAAGCGAGCCGATGACTTAAGGCTGGAAATACATAAAGCGCATATTTGGCTGGCTTAAGTTTTCGGCTGGCTTCTTCGTAAATGAACAAAGGAGTTTTAGGTTGACCTAGTTCGATTTTGGCCCTAGGCTCCTTTGTTCATTTCCGAAGAAGCCAGCCGGTGAATTAAGCCAGTCAGATAAGCGCTGTATGTATTCCCAGCTTAAGCCAGCCAGATAAGCGCTTTATGTATTCCACCCTTTACTTTTGCGCCGCCTTGTATTATGTGTAAATAAGCTTTAAAAATTATTCATCCCTCCCATTGTGCAATTATAATTGCTGTTCTTCAAAAACAAATCATGCAAAAAACCGAACTTCGTTTCTGGTTGCAGACATTTTTTTCTAGATAAGAACACACAAAAAGAAAGCAAATTAAAACCAACTTAACATCAGTTGGGAATGTAAACATAGTCAAATTCCAATATCTGCGAAGAAAAAAATGAAATTTGATATCGGTGGGAATTATAAAAAAAACAACTTCGAGACTATAAAAACACCTCAGAATTTGTTTATGATTTTTGTTGTTAAATCTACTTTTTGGCGACACGAACAAGAACTTTCATTGAAATGTTCTGCGGGTTTTTATTAGTTTGTCTATTAACTGTATTAATCATCGCCAATGCTGCCAATGTGCCGCGTTATGTATCCCATAAGAACTGTAATAATGTCAAAAGTGGAAGGATCATAGCCCATCCTAACAATTGCTCGCAATACATTGTGTGTAATGGCTTGCGCTCAACTTTGGGTGAATGTCCTGAGGGTTTGTATTATAATCCTGAAATGTTATCCTGTGACAAAATGAAGACTCACTGCCGTAGCAAAGAAACTATGTTGGAAATGAACGCAACATCGAATGCACTAGAACCTAATAAGGACAAAACTCCAGCGATGTTAACAACGAAACAACCGCCCACAACAACAACTACAATGGCCCCTACCACACCATTTATTCCACTTTATGCCGATGGCCGTCCTCTATGTACTCTGTGGCAGGATGTGGAATTTCCACATCCGCACAAGTGTTCCTTCTATTACAAATGCTTCAAAGGTTTTCTGATAATACGCAAATGTCGCCACGGACACATTTGGGATTGGATAGATCAACGTTGTGTGCCAGAGCCGCTGGGCCAATGTTATGCTCAGAAAAATGCTCTGAAAATGAAAAGTACAGCCAAGCAAGGGGAGGATGGTTATGTGCGTGTGGAAAATGAAATAGCATTGTATTTTTTGAAAATGTATTTTGAAAATCAAAAATAAATTTGAAAGTTTTTTTTATACCGGGTGAGACAAAAAAACTGCAATAAAGTCAAACGCTATAGTTTCTATTTTTTTTTTTTTTAATTTTATTGAATCGGAGCAAAAAAATATCGGAAATAGCATCAAATTTTAGAATAAAGGTGGGAATACATAAGGCGCTTATTTGGCTGGCTTAAGTCATCGGCTGGCTTCTTCGGATATAAACAAAGAGCCTAGGGCCAAAATCGAACTAAGTCAACCTAAAACTCCTTTGTTCATCTACGAAGAAGCCAACCGATGACTTAAGCCAACCAAATATGCGCTTTATGTATTTCTACCCTTAGATCAACAAAGGGGTTTTAGGTTGACCTAGTTCGATTTTGGCCCAGGCTCCTTTGTTCATTTTCGAAGAAGCCAGCCAATGACATAGGGTGGAAATACATAAAGCGCTTATCTGGCTGGCTTAAGTCATCGACTGGCTTCTTCGGAAATGAACAAAGGAGCCTGGGCCAAAATCGAACTAGGTCAACCTAAACCCCCTTTGTTCATCTAAGGGTAGAAATGCATAAAGCGCATATTTGGAGCCTAAGGCCAAAGTCGAACTATATCAACCTAAAACTCCTTTGTTCATCTAAGAAGCCAACCGATGACTTAAGCCAGTCAAATATGCGCTTTATGTATTTCTACCCTACACCGTACATTTATGATATGTCACTAAATATACCAGGCGAAGATTTCAGCTGCTTATGTATCCACACTCTTAGGCTGGAAATACATAAAGAACATATTTGGCTGGCTTAAGTCATCGGCTGGCTTCTTCGTAGATGAACAAAGGAGTTTTAGGTTGACATAGTTCGATTTTGGCCCTAGGCTCCTTTGTTCATTTCCGAAGAAGCCAGTCGATGACTTAAGCCAGCCAGATAAGCGCTTTATGTATTTCCACCTTTAGCTCGTGTAAAAGCTAAATTAAAGATAGAGAGCAACTGAGCACCTTGAATGCTTAGCAGCATTTTCTTGTTCTCTGCCAGAAATGCTGCCATGACAAGATATGGTGTCAAGCTTGATATGCTGCTTTTGTCTTTCTATGCTTAGAATTCCAATAAGCCATGTATAAATTCTTCTTCCAATTATTTCCTTTTTCTAAATTTTGTTTTTAAATATTTTGTTTTTACATTTCGATACACATTTCACTTGTTGCAGCATTAATTTACATAAAAGTTTTTAATTAGCTGAGACATAGATTCATTTTCTCGTCAGACAAAAACTATCCCTCCGTTCGCCTCACTCCAAGAACAAATATCAGACAATTTGTCTAAATCCGATCGTAGACGATGAAAATTACAACAACAATAATAAACAAAAAAAAAACAGAAAATTTATTTGAATTATTTTTATTTCAAACACTCGAAGAAAAATTGCAGTTGAAGGGGTGGAAAAGTCAAGGCTTTTTTGCTGGTTAAAGGTGAGAATACATAAAACGCTTTCTGACTGGCTTAAGTCGGCTAGCTTCTTTGGAAAAGAACAAGGAGTGTTTAAAAGCTTATTCTATATTCTCACCTTTAAGTCATCAATTGGCTTCTTCGAAAAAGTACAAAGAGTCATAGTGTAAACAAGTATAAATTATGGCCCAAAATCGATCTAAGTCAACCTATAACTCCTTTGTTATTTTACAAAGAAGCCAGCCGACGACTTAAGCAATTAAAAAAGCTCTATATTTGTGTACCGTTTGAAAAGAAGAGGCCGGGCCGAACTTTGAGTACCCTCCACCATTTGAAACGAATTTGGCAATTCTCAAAAACAATAAAATCCGGTAAAAATTCTAATAAAATCTTAAAAATACCGAATGTAGATGTTATTTAAGGGTCTATACGACGACATTGAACTGCATAGGTAACTTTTGTTATAAGCCATCACAATATTCAAATGCGAAAATCATCAAAATACCGAATATCGGGAGGTAGCTTTATATGAGTGCTATATGAAGACGTGAACATGCACAGACAATTTTCTGTCTTATCCCTTACGAACTTCAAATACCAAATTTGAAACAATTCGGGCGAATAATGTCGCGAAAATCATCAAAACACCGAATATCGGGAGCTACCGTTATATGGGGGCTATACGAAGACGTGGACCTGAACAGACAATTTTCTATCGTAGGCTGTAGTGTCCATTACGAACTTCAAATACCAAATTTGAAACAATTCCGGTGAATAATGTCGCTAAAATCATCAAAATACCGAATATCGGAAGGTACAATTATATGGGAGCAATACGAAGACGTAGACATGCAAAGACAATTTTCTGTCTTAGGCTGTAGTATCTATTTCGAATTTCAAATACCAAATTTGAAACAATTCCGGTGAATATTGTCGCCAACATCTTCAAAATACCAAATATCGGAAGGTACCGTCTTATAGTGGCTATACCAAAACGTACACCTTCATGGCCCATTTTCAATACCAAAAGTCCTACAGACATAATACACATTGAGTAACATTTTATCAATCTACTTCATTTCGTTTGGAAACTAGAGAGATTACCACAGACGGACGGACATCGCTGATAACAACCCACACAGTTCTTTAAAAAAAATCTGGAAGGAAATGTTGAAAATTAACACCTTTTTTTCTCGAGTGTAACCTCTTCAAACCTCACCCATTTAATTCGCATAATATTTTGTGTGTGTTTTTTTATTTCTTTTAAATAGACATAATCATAAATATTTGTACTTTTCCAAATTAAACGCCCAGCCTGCTACTTCTGATGATGTTGCAACAACAACAACTCTGAGCAACAACTATTGAATGGATCTATGAGCAGTGGAGACAGCCATGGGCCGACATATATTATGTATAAATACATCTGTGTGTGTGTGTGTGGACCTGAATCAGAGTCTAACATGCGGGACAGACCCCCATGTGCAGGCATGACTAATGGTCAGAAATACCTTCAGCAGAAGGAGAAATTCGTCTGTATGAGATTTGAGTGTACGTGTGTGTGTGTTTGTGTTTCTGTTCGAGACAGTTGTGTCCATTATATTCGAATGTAAGTACATGATTTGATGTGTACTTTTCTCTTGGGCGGCCAATGAAAACAAAACAAAATTGTGTCCACATTTTCAATATTTTTTTTATAAAATATTTTGTGTGTTTTTGATTATTTTGCTGAAAAGTATTAAGTTGAGAATACATAAAACGCTTTTTTGACTGGCTTACGTCTTCGGCTGGCTTCAGAGTAACAAAGCAAAACAAAGGAGTTTTAGGTTGACTTAGTTCGATTTTGGCCCTTGGCTTCATTGTTCATTTACGAAGAAAACTCCCTCTTTTGGGTCAAAAAGTGGATTTTTTTAATGAATAAATGTGGAGCCCGTGGAAAAATGTGAAACAATATTGAAAAAAGTCGGATTTTCAAGCAAGAATAACCTAAATTGCCAAATTACAGCCAATGCTGCTGAAAATTGGGAACTAAAACACCGATTGTCTTTCAAAAAACCAACGATTATACCATCGCCGGTCTTTCAGAAAGGACTTTAAAAATAATCCAAAAAATCCATGATTATTCTCCTGATCTCCAATCTTTAAAAAATGTTTCAAAACTTATTAAATATTCTCAAATAACATTATTTTAAATCTGACTCTCTTTCAAAAATATTCTTAAAAAGCCCGCGATAATGAAAAAAGCAGCAAAGTCCGAACTTTTTATACCCGCCACCATTCGGAAGAAACTTGAAATTTTTCAAAAAAAAAAATGCATCGAAAAATACGGCTCAAATGAAAACCTTTATATGGGAGCTATACGAAGACGTGGTGCTGGATAAGTAAGTTTTTGTCATAGGCTGTAGTAACGATTTCGAACATAAAATACGAAATTTGAAACAAATCCGGCGAATAATGTCGCAAATGTAATCAAAATAGAGAGAGGTGCCATTGTATGGGGGCTATATAAGGACGTGGACATGCATAGACATTTTTCCGTCATATGTTGTAGTACCCATTTCGAACTCCAAATACCAAATTTGACGCAATTCCGTTGAATAACGTCGCGGAAATCCTGGAAAAACCGAATATCTCGGCGTTGCGTTATATGAGTACTTTCTCTTCCAAGAGGTAAAGTACTTAGAAGGAACTCCTTGTGTGGATTTTCAGACCATTCCATTGAAAAAGGTCCCCATTGTATGGGGGCTACACGATGTCGTGGACCTATATAGACTACTCTCTTTCAGGGGGTAAAGTACTCACAAAGATCTCTTTATGCAGAATTTCAGACAATTCCATTGAAAATGTGACTAAAATCATCAAAATACCGAAGGTCGGGGGTACCGTTATGTGGAGGTTATACGATATGGTATACCAATATAGTCCATCTTCGAAGGTAACCTGCCTGCAGACAAAAGACGGATCGATGCAAAATTGTAGATTCATATCTCTATTCGTTTTGACTCTAGTGTGATTACAATAGCCGGAAAGACGGAGGGGACTAAATCGTTTTAGTATTTTACGCTGATACAGAATATTTTGATGAATTACAAACGGAATGGCGAACTTAATATACCCTACATACTATGCATGGTGCAGGGTATACAAATAAATGAAAATAATTCTCGAATATAGCTTTAGAAGTTTAAAGTATGGATCTTAAACAAATCCACGAAAATCTCTTAAAAAATGTCCAAAAAATAATCATGGTTTTAATTCGGAGAGTTATTCGATTACAACTCAGGTATTTCTTTGAAAACCCATTCTTAAATAATCCACAATTAATACAAATTTTTAAAATTACAAAAAAAAATATTTTTAGAAAAACATCCATGATAGTTTAAAAAAAATATTTCTAAAAGCTCCCACTTTCCAAATGTTCTTCAATGGTAAGCTTTCATTTTTTGTTATTCTTTAAGTGCCGCCTATGTTATCTATGTATGTTTGTATCTTTCTCTTCAAGTCGTTGGCCCTGAAAACTATTACCTTACTAACCCACATTTCTTCCGCACACATTCCACACCCGATAGCATGTAGTTCGATGTTTTTTGATAAAAATCATGTTCATGCAGTAAATTGATGTTGGGGTAAATGACATTTTGGAGGTTACAAAACATACTCCCAACATTTGTGCGAATAAAAATTTTGCAATATAAATATCAGCCAACGACTAAGAAAAATCATGGAGTAGTCTCAGAACAGTCTAATAGTTCAAAAGCTTGGAAATTTTTAAACAAAACTTGTTTTGAAAAAAAAAACGAAAATGCAATTTTTAAATCTATTGATCCTTGTATTGGCCGCCCTGGTTTCCTCTGGCCTGGCTGACATCATGGAAAAGTGTTCTCGGGTTCCCAAAGATACCTACATTGCAGTGGAAAATGATTGCCGTTCCTATATCTATTGTGCTGCCGATGCTGAAGAATCCTTCCAAGAGGCATGTCCCATCGATACATATTTCGATGAAAACATTTCTGAATGTGTTGTAGATGAATATGGCATATGTTTGAATAAGAAGCAAAATGTTACCAATTCCCAAATCATTACTGAGGAGGAGGAAGAAGAAGAAGACGCTGAGGGAGAAACAAATGTCATCGTAACGGAAAAGAATGAAGTTAAGAATAAAACAACGCCTAAACCCAGTGTAGATGTAGCTGCCCACAGACCCATTTGTAATCCTTTGGAAAATAGCTTTCATCCTCATCCCGTTCGTTGTGAATACTATTATCGTTGTGTGCATGGATTTTTAACTATTTTCCGTTGCAACTTCTCCCATGCCTGGGATCATCCCAAGCAAATGTGTCTGCCCCACAAGGAGGCCCAGTGTTATGGTCATTCGAAAATAAGGCGATCTTTGTAAACCGATTAGAATATAGATAATAGTTTTAGAATGTATTATATATTAAATAAGAAATAAAACTCGATTTTTTTATAAAAGAAAAAATTAAAATTTTTATTATTTTTGTGTGTTTAAAAAAATAAGCTGTTACAATTATTCCAGTGACAGCTGAAAACAGCATTTTGGTGATGATTTTCCAGGAAAAAAGTTATTCGTGATGGAATTCAAGCGTGATAGTGTGATTTCCTTATATTTGGCTGGAAAACCACCAGTGGCTATTGTTAGAGCACTCCAGCATTTAAATGTGAATAAATCTTTTGTGTCTTGTACCATCGCCCGTTACCATGATAGCGTTACTGGTAGCGTAGCCCGACGTCAGCAACATCAGCAGAAATGGTTCGAAAAATAAAGAAGCGACTTGATCGAAACTCTCGTCGCAGTGGCAAATATTGAAAAATCATCTCAGGGTAAAGCCACTGAAATTCCAAAAAGTGCAAGAACTTACACCGCAGCAGAAAGAAATAGACCAAAAAGAGCTTGGCCGAAAGTGATGAACTGCCGAATTTGGGTTTCTCCGATGAGACAAGATTCGTTGTCCAGCAGTTTGTAAACAAACAAAATGATCGTGTTTACTTGCCAAAGAGGTCAGCTGAAAATGTGCAACTTCGGTTGGCCACCAGAAAAAAAAAGAACTCAAGCGCCAGCCATGGTGATGGCCATAACAACCGATGGTCGCTCTCCGCTCGTAATTATCGACCGTGGCATCAGAATAAATGCTATATTTATTTATAATATTATCGCGAAAATATTCTGGAGGGTGTATTAAAGCCTTGGGCACGAAAACATTTTGACCGCAGACCTTGGACATTCCAACATTACGATAGACAAATGAAGATATAGACAACGAAATGCTCTCACTGTTTTTCTTCGAAAAAAAATCGGATCTGCAGATGTCGTCTATATCCTTTCAGGAGTTTGGGTGAGAATATTGAAGTCACTCAATTCTAAAACGTTAAAGATAATAAAAACTGTAGGATATTTGTCAGTTAAAAATTGTTCCATAATAAAAAAAATGTGAAAAATACGAGAGCCACCTGGATAAGAAGACAAAACTAACTTTTCGTTTTCTATATCTTCATTTGTCTATGCAGGACTCAGCACCATCGCACTCAGCACGCCCCACCGATGAATGGTTAAAAAATTAGGTTCCCCGCTTCATTTGCAGCGCACAATGGCCACCAAAATCTCCGAATACCAATCCGTTGGACTATTGTGTCAGGAGTTTTTTGAAAAGCAAGATTGGCAATAAAAAATACCAAAGTGTCGATCACCTCGAGCAAGCGTTACGCCGGGAATAGGCCAAAATACCTCAAAACAACATTCGGGCAGCGTGTGACGGTTTCATTGGTCGTTTGAATCTAAAGTTATTCTAAAATTTGATGCTATTTCCGATTCGCTTTCATTCAATAAAATTTAAAAAGAAAAGTAAAAATTATGGCGTTTGACTTTGTTGCAGTTTTTTATCTCACCCGCACGTTGTAATATTTATATTAGTCTTAGGTCAGATACGAATTAGTCAATATTGGCCAACTGCTTCGGAACATCCCTCCATAAAGGATCAACACTTTGAATAATCATAACCATGGCTGGGGGTATATATCTGTCGGAAAAAGCGATAGTGATACTATTTTACTTGTTAAAGGTCCTTTATATACATACATAAATGATTTCTACCATTATTATATACATGATTCTTTTAGAATTCATCATCATTTCCACACATATTCAATATTTTGCAAGAATTTTTCAAATACCTTACAACGGACTTGTCATGTAGGTTGCCTTGTTTCTAATATTTCCCATAAGGCACTCTACTTTGGGTCAAAAGTTCTGGAATACAAGTGGGTACAATTTCAATTTTTTTATTAAAAAATCTAGAAAAGTCCTATTTTTGAAGATCCTTTTGTTTAATATTTTTAATTTTAATATGTGAAACGAGTTTTTATATAATGACCATTTTAATTTATTCCAAAGTGATTTTCAGTTGTCTGAATTACTTTTGATTTAAAATTTTCTGCATTACATTTCTTAAACATGATATCTTCTAAAAGATTTTTGCCGAAAAAATACCTCTTTACCAATTGAAATACCAAATACAGCACCCGACAGTTGCCTCGACTCACCATTTGGCGATTATTCACTTGTTTTTAATTATGAATTAGATTACATTAATATACATTTATATTAATTTAAACAAACATGTTTTGTTGTTGTTGTTGTTTTTGTATTTTGGTAATGGGTTAGTGGTACACCTTACATGGAGGGAGGCGCAAGCAAGCAAGAGACTGCTTGCTGGCCGGTATTCTTAGAGCATAGGTTTCATCGTATTTTTCGCCATGGCTACTGAATCTATTCTCTGCCTTTGCATTTTATACGATTCGTCAAGGGGTTTTTAAGAAGGTTTTGTTGTTGGTGCTGCTGCTGTTGTTCTCTTATATTAAATGCGTTTCGTTGTGGGTACTGGTATTTAACAAGAAAAAAAGAAGAAGATTTCGAAATCATTTGTTGTAAATGTATTTAATTAAAATCCATTTATTGTGTCGTTGTTGGCATTTTGTTGGAGACCGTTGTGTTCTAGTTTTCGCTGCCATGGGTCTGTGGAAAGTCTAGAATTTATAGTTGTCATTTGTTTTTTTTTTTTATTTTTGGCCTTTTGAGAACTGAAAATTTCTCCACCACCTTCCACCTACCTTACACTTTTTTTGGTATGACGATGACCAGGTTTTTTTGGTAAACAAAATAGAAACGAAAGGCAGATGCATGCCTCAGCCTAGAGGGTATGTAATTGTATAAACGATAAAAAGGTGATTAATCGAATTTTTGATTCATAGCCAGGGGCTTGATTAATTTTTTTAAAGTGTAAAGGATTTTTAGATTAGAGGATGTGAAGGCTTTTAAAATGTTACTTTTATTCATATTTTGCAGTCGGAACAATTTTTCCCTCTGTTCCAGAGCCTGCAAGAATGTAAGAAGTTAAGAAAGATAACCAATTTTTCTTTTATGGTATCGAAAAATAGGAAAGGTAGTAGATTCTTGCAGCTTCTGGAAACAGAATGTGTAATGGGTGCTTAATCGAATTTTTGATTCATACCCAGGGGTTTGATTCATTTTTTTTAAAGTGTAAAGGATTTCTAGATAAGAGGATCGAGGTTATATGAATTGCTAACTTTTTTCTTGAAGGCTTTTAAAATATTACTTTTATTCATATTTTGTAATCTAAACAATTTTCCCTCTGTTCCAGAACCTGCAGGAATGTAGGAAATTAACTAAGATAACCGAGTTTTCTTTAATGGTATCGAAAAATAGGAAAGCTAGTAGATTCTTGCAGATTCTGGAAAACAGTATGGGTAAAAGGTGATTTATCGAATTTTCGATTCATATCCAGGGGTTTGAATCATTTTTTAAAATATAAAGGATTTTTAGATAAGAGGATCGGGGTTATATGAATTGCTAACTTTTTTCTTGAAGGCTTTTAAAATATTACTTTTATTCATATTTTGTAATCTAAACAATTTTCCCTCTGTTCCAGAACCTGCAAGAATGTAAAAAAGTTGAGATAACCGAGTTTTCTTTTATGATATCGAAAAATAGGAAAATTAGATTCTTGCAGATTCTGGAAAACAGTATGTGTAACCAAGTTTTGAAAAATATTTTTTTGACACTTATAAAATATTTGAACATTTAAAAGGTTATATATGTAGACTTTGAAAAATGTATGTATGTATTTATTAGAGCTAAAAAAGTAAATCTATTTTCTAAAATCAAAATATCGCCAATTTTTTGTCATTTAAACCTGTAGCATGGGCCGCTTCTCTTTGCCCTCCAAATTCTCATTGGTATAAGCATAGCCAGTGCCACCCTACAACAAAGAATATTCATTAACTCTTACATCAATATTACATATCCCACAATTACCCTTTGCAATGGTATAATGTCCTTTTCCTTAAGCTTTTGGCTGGTCAGTGGATGTATCATATCTTTCTTTATCAATTTCTCCACACATTCCATGGTGACAACATCTCCGCTGTGAATAAAAGAAAATTTTGAACAGAATTATATATTTTTCACACCCCCAATAATTCTTACGTTGGTCGTAGAACTGCGCAGGGTATGGCATTACTGAGTACATCATGTGTCACCGGACACATATATCTTGCCTCTTTGGCAATCAGCGATTTACTGCGATCACCATCTTTGAGCAACGTAAACTTGACATCTATCAAATCCTTTGCCTTTAAGGGTCTCTGTGACACCGGACAATAGATGGTGGGATCGGGTTTTTCAATTTTCGCCCGTCCCGCATTGGGACATTCCGAGGGTAACCAAAAACTAGGCAATTTCTTTTCATGACCATTGGCCATATTGGAGATGGAACTCTCTACACGTTTGGCAGCATCTTTAGAGGTGCCAGGCATGTCGACGGTACCATTTACAGGTTTCTCCGATTTGACAAAGGCCTCAACAGCTGTGGCTTGTTTGCGACTAGCCTCCTGTGTCTGTTCATTTTCCTCCTGTTTCTTTAGACGTTCGTATTCCTTTAATTTGCGGCTATATTCATTTTTCTTGGTAATAATGTATTGGAGTATGGCCTCCTTGTCGAAGAGATAGCCATCCTTGGTGACAACCGGATTTCGACATGGTTGTAACGTTAAGGAGCAGCAATCAAATGATTTCACTGAATCTTTGCCAAGACGTTGGGCATTTGTTCCATAACCCGACTCTGCTGCATCTTTTTTCTTCTCATTATACGTGTAGACAGCTCCGGCAGTACAATTACGGGCATGGCGGGTCATTTTGTGGAAACTTTTCAAGGATTATAGACCTAAAAAATAAAACAATAACCAGTAAATAGATAATAATTTTTCAGAGATAAGTACATTAAAACCATAAAACTTACCTTCTGAAAATGGAGAAGTAGAGCCTATAAGCAATCCACCAGTACAGAACAGTAGGTCTCTCCAGATCGAAAATAGAAAAAAAAGCCAAAACATAACGGCCAATAAAAAATAAACAAAAAACAAAATCACCGAGAACCTTTGTTGTTTACGAATGAGTGCAATGCAACGCCAAGAACCTCCTGTTGATGATTACGAATGAGACATGGGGACAACGTAATTTCAATGTAAAATTCATTAAATGAACCGAGGAACTATCATGCCACGGCGTTCATCATACCAGACGGCGGCTTTTGGAAAACCATGTTATTATTTCATAGTGATTAGACAAGATATTTTTGAATTTAAATTTTTCCCAAATAAAAGTGAGCCTTTCTGGTCATTCACTTTTCAATAGTCACTAACTGAACTTAAATAACCAGTCTCGGGACATAGGTACTGCGGCTACCTATTCAAAAATCAACTAAAACCCAAAAAAAAAAAATCAGAAATGTTAACAAAAAGGCGAAATGCAGAATAACAAAGCTGAACGGGGATTTTGCCGCCGGCGGCTTTAGTTTATTACGGCGGCATAACGGATAACGACATCCCAATTGGTGAACTAAAATGAAAAGCGGTCCATTAATGCAATGAAAAACAACTTGAATTTAAAATGCATTGTCATCAGAATAAATCAAATAAAATTCGAAATTTATACTTAAATAAAACAACATTTTATTTTTCTTACAATTTTTAATAATTGCAACATTTATTCTGTTTTTGTATTTCATATATATTTCCCGGTTGTCTTTAATACGTGTGTGTATATATACTTTCATTTCTTAGAGAATAATTTACTCGCATAGATTATCTTTGTTTTGTTTTTATTTTCAGATACATATTAATGTATATACGTTTGTCTTTATATTATATTTATAGATTATTTTAAATATATTACGACGTTTTCCTTTTGTCTTAATTCTATTTATAGTTAATTTATATATCTACTACATTTAGAAAAATTGTTGTCAAATAAAAAAGAGACGAGAAGAAGACTAGACTTGTTCACATGATATATCACAGAACATACAATATATATAAATGATAGCTTGCGCTTGGAAAATTATTTAAAAAAAATGTTTGTTTATTTTTTAATTATATTATGTTTATAACTACTTGGCATTCTTTTTGTTTTGCATATATTTCTATAAAAGTTTTTTTTTTTAAAGCAAGTCGTAAAAAGTAGTGGTAGAGTATTGAGGAGGCTGAAAGGTTTTTATGTGTTTTAACTTTCTTCAGATTGATTTTCTTATAGAAAAATATAGCTTCAACGATATGGCTTTTGCTAAAGTTGTTTTTTTTTTTTTTTTTTTTTTTTGTTTATTTTTATTTAAGAATTTACTTTTGTGCATTCAGTTTCCATTAGTTGTAGTTATTGTTTTGTTGTTTATTTTCTTTTTAAGACATTTAAATGGAAATTCTTTTTTTGCTAATTGGATTTTACATGGCTTATGCAATATTGTAGGGAGACAATGTGTTATTTTTCATATTTTAAATACATTATTATTTAAATGGATTTAAATTTGCAATATTAATTTATTTATAAATGATTGTAATGGAAATAGTTTGTTATAAAAAGAAATAAAAACATTTATTTTATTCTTACAAAATTGTGTTAATTTATTTTCCGCTTAATTGCATTTGTAAAAAACGAAAGTAAAAAAATTAAACAAATATTTTCTATTCCGAATTAATACCGGCTGTTTGACGGCAGTGTCTCTTTTATTGCTATTTTTGCTTCAAATTCCTAACCTTAAATATATAAAATCCACTAATTATCCACTCAAATGTATTACCATGGTAAAAGAATACAGGTAGTCTCATCGACACAGCTGCTGTAACAATAAACTGTCAAACCAATTTTGGGATTGAAAATGTTGAATGAAAAATTATTGGAATTTGTAAAAATTGTTGAAAAACGTTTATTACAATAACCACTGAATGACGTCGTATAAGAAAACATATAAAAATCTATTTATATTTGAAAAGACATAAAAAAATTTTTGACATATCAGTGTTCCCAAGCGTTGATGCATCTACCTGTATTCTTCTACCATGAAACATCGATGTCAAAAATGTTTAAATGTTCTTTCAAATATAAGTAGATTTTTTTATATATTTTCTTATACGACGTCGTTCGGAGGTTATTATAATTTGCGTTATTCAACAATTTTTACAAGTTTAAATAATTTTTCGTTCAACATTTTGAGTTTCAAAAATAGTTTGACAGTTAATTGTCCCAGCAGCTGTGTCGATACGTCGATCTATATTCTTTTCCAATGCCATGACTGGTAGCTTTCACATGTTTAATAAAAATGACATTCATATTAGAAATCAGCTGTTCTTGATGGCAACATTGCAATTAGGCCTTTTAATTGCCCAAAACAAGATATTACACTGACATTTCAAGTAAATACTCCATTTCTTCTTAATAAATTTTTCAAAATATATATCCTCTCAAATATGCTCCAATAATAATCTACATAATTCCCACTCTTCTTGTTTCCCAACTTTTCACGACCTACTCAAATACAAATTGGAAAAATGTTTACCTTTTTCCAATCATAAATAAATCTTTAACCTACAACTATTAACACATTCCTCTAGTTTGCAATTTGTTTTTATCTAAAAAAAAGGAAGACTAATAAATAAAAAAAACATACTCATTACAAAGTCATATTAAAATATTTACGTTAATAACCAATATTGCACCTGTGTAAACGATACGAGATCCTCGTGTTTTTTTTTTCGAAAAAATATCTTAATTATTTAATAAATATCCTGTGTATATTATATATGTGTATAAATTGATCATAATCTACAATTATAAATTTCATTTGTGTTTTTTTATTATTTTTAAATTCTAATAAAATTCTTACCACCTACCAGCTGTATTCGCAGTAAAACATCGGCCTGCAAATGGCGCCACAAAAAAATCGTACACATTTTATATCAATATCTTATCATAGGACGGTGGTGGTGACTCTTCTACCTGGTCATTATCTTCTTTGCCCTTCGTCGATTCGGCTGGCAGCAATATGGCTATGTGATATGGAGGTGGACCTGCCGCCTGTTGTTGCGCCTGGACCGCCTGTGTCATTTGTTGCTCCAAGATTTCCTGCTGTTGGAATTCCTGCAGACTACTGAGCACAACATCATCAATGGAATTGACCACAGAACCTCGTGCATCATCCATACTACAACGATCGCGTACCGTTTGATCTCTCGAACCCGAGCGCGAAGATGCCGATGAGGCGGCAAACAATATGCTAGGTACTTTACAAATGGAGACAAAGCAGAAGGCAAAAACAAATGTAGCCGTGAGCAACCAAAAAAGTCCAACCTCAAATTTGGTGCCATGATTATTGAAATAGACTTTAATGCCCACAATGAAGGCTATGGCTAGGACGAGTGAAGCGAAAATGCCACATTTCAGATGTAGCGGGAGAAATTGCAGGCCCACACTTTCAATGGATCGCGTAACATTGCGCCGCCGTGGATTCGCCGTATTGGTGGTGTTGCTCGGATTACTGGTATTTGCGGCGTAAACTGGTCGAGGAAAAACTGTTACAACTCGGGGTGATGATTGATACAGTTCAGCAGTTATATTGGCAGTTTGAATTGGGCTAAAATGAAAAAAGACAATTTTTTGGATAATATTATGATTGGAATATGATTGGTAAAATTAAGAAGGTAAAGTAATTTCGAATAAACATTTTCTGCATTTTCTGTAATTAACCTTGTTAAATTTCACTGCATAGAAAACAGGTTCCCATCTCTGATTCCTGGATTTGAAAACATTAATTTCGACAATGAGAAAAAATTATAAACATGTGACTGCATGACTTTACCTTCTTAATTTTGCCATGGAATTATGGAACGAGCAAAAATTAAATATGTAAAGTAGACATTTTGAACTATCATTTTAAATGTCAAAATGATCAAATGTTGCTTGCATAAGCGAGATGAAAATTCCGATTTAAGACTGATAGTGTATACCCCACCTTATGTTTAGAGGCGTCTTTATATACATGCATGGTAGAAGAATGCAAGTAGTCGCATCGGCACAGCTGCTGGGACAATGAACTGTCAAACTGATTTTGGAATTGAAAATGTTGAATGAAAAATTATTGACATTTTTAAAATTGTTGAAAAATGCATTTTATAATAACCTCTGAATTGCGTCGTATAAAAAAACATTTAAAAATCCACTTATATTTCATAAAACATTTTAAAAATTTTGACATATCAATGTTCCCAAGCGTTGATGCATCTACCTATATTCTTCTACCTTGCGTGTCTTTTGGATGTTGGTATTAGGCAGATTTTATACCAGATTTCTGAAATCAGACAACATTCCAATCGCAATAAGTTAAAAAATCGTGTATATGATAAGCTGTAAGCTTATGCATATATTTTTTATTTCCTTTGGTTATATTGTGTTTATTTATATTTTTTCGATGAAAATAGGGCTCGCTGTGATCGAAAAAGTACATAGCTACTTTACTCATGTATTTCACAACTAAAATGCAAACCATGGTAGAAGAATATAGGTAGACGCATCGACACAGCTGCTGGGACAATGAACTGTCAAACCAATTTTGTAATTGAACATGTTGAATGAAAAATTATTTAAATTTGTAAAAAATATTGAAAAAAACGCGAATTATAATAACCTTTGAATGACGTCGAATAAGAAAACATTTAAAAATTTACTCATATTTGAAAAAACATTTACATTTTTTTTTGACATATTAGCGCTCCCAAGGGTTGATGTATCTACCTGTATTCTTCTGCCATGATGTAAACCATGTATCAGACGATGTGTGCAAAATTTGACACTACATATGTAAAAAATATATCAAAGAAGTGAACAGAAAAAAACAGCAACATCAGCAGAAATGGTACGAAAAGTAAAGAAACGACTTGATCGGAACCCGCGTCGCAGTGGCCGAAAAATGGCTCGTGATCTGAACATATCGCAATATTCCATTCGGCAAATATTGAAAAATGAGCTCGTGGAAAAACCATTGAAATTGCAAAAGTGCAAGAACTTACACCGCAATAGAAAGAAAATAGACTCAAAAGAGCCAAAGAGTTGCTTCGCTTGGCCGAAAATGAGGATCTGCCGAATTTGGTTTTCTGCCTCTCCGATGAGAGAACATTCGTTGTCCAGCAGTTTGTAAACAAACAAAACTATCGTGCTTTCTTGTCAAAGAGGTCAGCTGAAAATGAGCATCTTCGGTTGTCCACCAAAACTCAAGCGCCGGCCATGCTGTGATGGTGTGGGCCGCCATAACAGCCAATGGTCGCTCTCCGCTCGTATTAATCGACCGTGGCATCAGAATAAATGCCGAATATAATCGAAAAAATATTCTACAGGGTCTATTAAAGCCTTGGATACGCAAACATTTTGGCCGTAGACCTTGGACATTCCAACAGGACTCAGCACCATTGCACTCAGCACGCGCCACCCAAGAGTGGTTACAAAATGAGGTTACTCTCGCTTCATTTCCAGCGCACAATGGCCACCAAAATCTCCGGATACCAATCCGTTGGACTATTATATCTGGAGTATTTTGGAAAGCAAGGTTAACACTAAAAAAAATACCAAAGTGTCGATCACCTCAAGCAAGCGCTTCGCCGGGAATGGGTCAAAATACCGCGTGTGACGGTTTCATTGGCGTTTGAAGGCCATAATTTGTGCCAAAGGTGACCGATTCGAACAAATCTAAACTTGAGGTGTAAATACATAAGAAGCTTGAAGTCATGGCTAGGGATATTTTGTAACATTTCATAAAGGGATTACAGAGCCGCACTAAAATGCTGCCGTCGTTTTCCATTGTAATTCGACATTAAAATGCCTAGCCATGACTTCAAGCTTTTTATGTACTTGCACTTTTATTCTAAAATTTGATGTCATTTCCGACATTTTTTCGCTTCCATTCAATAAAATTAAAAAAATGTTAAAATTATGGTGTTTGACTTTGTTGTAGTTTTTTTTATCTCACCCTGCATGTGAATTTCAGGGTAGCTCAGACTTCCTTCATTAAGGTGAGAGAACATAAAACGCTTTTTGGCTGGCTTAAGCCTTCGGCTGGTTTCTTCAAAAAGAACAAAGGAACACAGGGCCAAAATCGAACTAAGTCAACCTAAAACTCCTTTGTTCCTCTACGAAGAATCCAGTCGAAGTCTTAGGGTGGAAATACATAAAGCGCTTATCTGGCTGGCTTATGTCATCGGCTGGCTTCTTCAGAAATGAACAAAGGAAAACAGGGCCCAAACCGAACTAAGTCAACCTAAAACTCCTTTGTTCATCTACGAAGAAGCCAGCCGATGACTTAAGCCAGTAAAAGAATCGTTTCATGTATTCTCACATTTAAGCCAGTCAAAAAACGTTTTATGTATTTCCACCCTCTTCGTAGAGGAACAACGGAGTTTAATTAATTTAATAAAGTCATAAAATAAATAAAATCGCTGATTGTGTTCCAGTCATTTTGGATCTGTAGTTCCCATTTTTTTAGGTTTTACAAATACAATTATGAGAGAAATGTCTCTCTGAAAAAGAACTCAGTCCAATCGTGAAGGTCCCTCGCACTTACCTTTGATGCTGAACTGAAGAACTTTCCGGTATGGGATTCAATGAGGAATCAACAGCATGTGGTGGTTGCTGCTGCTGCTGATGATGCACCACAACATTGGCATTATGTGAATAGCTTGCTGATTGTTGCTGTTGGACCGTTGCCGCTGTCGCTGATGCCAATGGATATGTCCTCACCGACATATTACCGAATTGGGGATGACGATAACGTTGTTGTTGATAAGGATTTTGTTGTTGCTGTAAATGATGATGCTGCTGGTGCTGTGTCTGATGATGCGAATGCTGTTGACCTGCCATATGGCCAGTTGACGATGGACTATAAGTGACATATGCTGCCGACGATGAGGAAGTTATGGTCGCCGAGGGAGTGGCATTATTGCCCGTGGGTGAAGTTATAAGGTTCGACGAGTTCGTGGTGATGACATGATTATTATTGCTAGAATTGATTATTGCTGGCGATGATGTTGTTGTTGTTGGCACTCCTCCTCCTGTTGTGTTTGTAGTGGTGGTCACGCCGCTGCTGCTTGTGTGATGTGCTTGTTGGCCATGGGCCTGATATTGACGATTGTTGTTGTAATAGTGATGGGAGTTGTTAGTTCTGGAAGCGTGATTACGATTAGCCGAGGAAGATGAAGAAGAAGACATGTGTGTGGGTACTGTTAGGCCCGCTGCCGGATTGTGGCTGTTGTTATTGTTGTTTTGGGAATGATGAGAACTGCTGCTGCCACTGGCACCAACATAATGTGGAGAACTTGAAACACTTCCTCCGCCAGCGGCAACACCTCCTCCGCTGCCGCCGGCATGTTGATGATATTGGGCCGCTTGTTGATGATGATGTTGCTGCTGCTGTTGTTGTTGTTGCTGCTGCTGCTGTTGGCGATGTACAGCCGCTGTGGATTTATTGGTTCTACGTGGCGGATGACCAAAACTTACACCCGCCCCACCACCAGCCCCAGACAAAGAAGCTGCCACCCGCGATCTTCCAAAACCACATTGTGGCGAACGTTTGTCTATCCAAAAATGCATAACGTTCTTTGTCCGCCAACTATCGCGAATGCCGTACGCTTAGCTCCCTATCCCGTTGACGTTTGTCAAACCTAGAAAAGAAAATTACAAACAATTATTTTAACAGAAGCCGGAAAAAGACAAGGGAATAGAAGAAAGGTCAAAGCACTTCTGAATGAAATGGTGCATAGTTGGGTGTTTTTTCCCTCTTCTTCTTCTTAAGAGGAAACAGGAAATATTTGTAAACTTTCGTGCACACACACACACACCCACTCAAACAAACATACATGTCTATCCATGAGTGGTAAATAGACGACAAAGGATTCCAAAGGTTCTTTGTTAGTCTAGGGTAGAATATACCGGAAGTTTTTTTTGTCACCTCTAACAAAGGATATTTTTTGAGGAACTTGGTAGTAATGTAATATCCCCTTAGTCAGAGTGTGGGCAAAAACACATACACATACAAGTTACGTTAATAGCTGGCATACTTATGTCTAAGAGTGTCTGGAAATACCACATTAAGTAAGAGGAAACTAGATCCCATTAGCATACACACTGAGTTCTACGAAAATGGTTGTAAGGTTGCTTTAAATGTTTGCTTTTATTTGTTTTTATTATATATTGGAAAAATAATAATCGTCTGAACACTCTTTAAGAATCAGCTGATGCCATGGTAAAAGAATACAGATAGTCGCATCGACAGAGCTGATGGGACAATCAACTGTCACAACAATTTTAAAATTAAAAGTTTTGAATGAGAAATTCGTAAAATTAGTTCAAAAATGTACGTCATAACAACCTCCAACTGGCAGGGCATATGAAGCATATATAAATATACTAAATTATGAAAAAACGTTAAAAAATTTTAAAATTTTTGACATTTCAATGTTCCCAAGCTTTGATGCATCTACCTGTATTCCTCTGCCATAAATCGAGTGGATTTTGTAGTCTAAACAAGCTTTTACAGCAGCATGGGTCCATTGAGTTAACGCTTAATCAAGAACTATGTTGAAAGATTCAAAGTGATGCCAACCCCAGGCGATAACAACGTCGTGTGTAAGTTTCTTTTGGCAACGCGAAATTTATCAGTAAAACCATAGTATGTCCCCATGGTAGAAGAATATAGGTAGAAGCATCAACACAGCTGCTGGAACAATGAACTGTCAAACCAATTTTGAAATTGAAAATTTTGAATGAAAAATTATTCAAATTTATAAAAATTGTTAAAAAAAATGTATATCATAAGAACTTCCGATTGACATCGTATAGGAAAATATGTACAAATACAGGGTGGGATGGAAAAACTGCAACCAAATTCGGAATTCTGTAATTTCTTGGCTACTTGTCCATTTAAATTATTCCAGTGACAGCTCATTATATTGTTTACAAGCGTTCAATGGTTCGTGAGCTGAACATATCGCAACTTTCCATTCGGCAAATATTGAAAAATGAGCTCGGGGTATAGCCATTGAAATTGCAAAAAGTGCAAGAACTTACACCGCAACAGAAAGAAAATAGACTCAAAAAAGCTAAAGAGTTGCTTCGCCTGGCCGAAAGTGGTGAATTGCCGAATTTGGTTTCCATTCGGCAAATATTGAAAAATAAGATCGTGGTAAAGCCATTGAAATTTCAAAAAGTGCAAGAACTTACACCGCAACGGAAAAAAATACACTGAAAAGAGCTAAAGAGTTGCTACTTGGCTGCTTGGCCGAAAGTGGTAAACTGCCGAATTTGATTTTCTCCGATGAGAAAACATTCGTTGTCCAGCATTTTGTAAACAAACAAAATGATCGTGTTTACTTGTCATGAGGTCAGCTAGAAATATGCACCTTCGGTTGGCCACCAGAACTCAAGCGCTGGTCATGGTGTGATGGTGTGGGCCGCCATAACAGCCGATGGTCGCTCTCCGCCCGTATTATTCGACCGTGACATCAGAATAAATGCCGAATATTATCGCGAAAATATTCTGGAGGCTGTATTAAAACCATGAGTACGCAAACAGGACTCAGCACCATCGCACTCAGCAGGCGCTATCCAAGAATGGTTACAAACTGAGGTTCCTCCCTTCATTTCCAGCGCACAATGGCCACAAAAATCTCCTGATACCAATCCTTTGGACTATTGTTGTCTGGAGTATTTTGGAAAGCAAGGTTGGCACAAAAAAAAATTCCAAAGTATCGATCACCTCAAGCAAGCGTTTCGCCGGGAATGGGCCAAAATACCGCAGATCAACATTCGGGCGCGTGTGACAGTTTCATTGGCCGTTTGAAGGCCATAATTCGTGCCAAAGGTGACCAATTCGAAGAAATCTAAACTTATTCTAAAATTTGATGCTATTTCCGACATATTTTGCTTTCATTCAATAAAATTTAAAAAAAAATGTAAAAATTATGACGTTTGACTTTGTTGCAGTTTTTTATCTCACCCTGTATATAAAATTTTCTTCTGAATAATTTTTTTTAATAATATGACATTCTATAAATTAAGATTTACTCCTCAATCTCTTAAACGCATTCCCTTAGTTTGCTGGGTTATTTTATAGACTATGAATAACGGATTTCAAGTGGCCAAGTAAATTTCTTGCACAGATATGAATAAAAGACATAAATAATAACTACGAACATGATAGCTCCCCTGACTCTCTCCCTCACTCGCTCATTCACTCTCTCACCATACACACACAGCACCCACACTCTCAAACCGACATAATTCAAAGGTGAAAGTCAGTGAGACACAATCTCTTATTCTTACTTTATTACTCATACTCTCCTCATTCATTCCACCACATACCGCACAGCAATCATCTCTCACAGGAGATTGAGCTGTTTAATTGAATAAGTCAGACAAGTGCAATCTAACACTTAAAAATGATTCGTGACATTTTCATGTGGGAAAACATAACAAGCACAACAACTACGACAACAAGAAAATATGTAGTAAAGCAAACCAAAACACATGAATACAAAAAGAAAAAAAAAACATGAACAACAAGGTTTATAAAACACATACGTTCAGATGTCCATGTTAAATATGATGTAGTGTGGAAACTATGAAAACTATGTTAAAAAGCAAGGGTTTGCATTTGTGTGTGTATGTTTGTGTTAGGCCAAGTGAGAGGCATGCTTGTATGTGTGTATATCCGCTAACGTTGCACATTGTACAGTAAAGTGCAAAAATGAATTCAATGTATGTAATATCGTAATAAATAACGTATTTATCCCATTTATTGTTTAAAATGCATTCTCGTTGGTGTTGACAGAAAGAGAAACAATTTCTTAATGTTATATAGCAGTGTTGCCACTTCATGTGTTATAACACATAGGCCGGTTATTACATCTTGCCGATAAAAAAAAGTGATGTTGTCGGACACATAAATAGTTTTTCGTTATTACAAGTTTCACTTAAGTATGAACTGTCCGATAAGCAAAAGGTCAGACCATCTTTCCTTTATATTTTAAGGTAAAGTTTTTTTAATTCATGTTGCCATATTTTTATTGATAATATGGCAATAACAGCAAAATATATTTGAATAAAAAAAATGAATAACGCAAATCGATTTTTATACTGAAGAACTGAATTATATATTTATTTCACGAAATAATTTACAAATTCGCAGTTTGTTTATTATTTTAAAAGTAAAATAAAGATGCCATTCTGAAAAAAGTGCAGTGAATACCAGTTACTTTTGAAAAAATCTTGCCATATCTATGTAAAAAAATGCATATATTTTGAAGGAAAGATGTAATAGTGAGAACCCCATAATGTAAACTTTATTCTTCACTTTTCCTAAAGTAAGGGATAACATAAGTGGACTATAAAGGGAAGATATAAGAACGGGCCATATTGTGTGTAATTTTTTTAATATTTTTTTTATAATCCTTCCCTTTTCAAATGCTTCTGCAGAAAGAATATTTAAATGATGATTTTTGGGAATTTTTTTTTAAATTTTATTGAATGGAAGCAAAAAATGTCGGAATTAGCATCAACTTTTAGAATAAGTTTAGATTTGTTCGAATTGGTCATCTTTGGCAAGAATTATGGCCTTCAAACGGCCAATGAAACCGTCACACGCTGCCCGAATATTTCTCTGCGGTATTTTAGTCCATTCCCGGCGAAGCGCTTGCTTGATGTGATCGACACTTTGGTATTTTTTAGTACCAACCTTGCTTTCCAAAATACTCCAGACATAATAGTCCAACGGAATGGTATCCGGAGATTTTGGTGGCCATTGTGCGCTGGAAATGAAGCGAGGGACCTCATTTTGTAACCATTCTTGGATGGCGCGAGCTGAGTGCGATGCTGCTGAATCCTGAGTTCTGTTGGAATGTCCAAGGCCTGCGGACAACATTTTTAATACACCCTCCAGATTATTCATTAATATTCAGCATTTATTCTGATGCCACGGTCGATTTATACGAGCGGAGAGTGACCATCGGCTGTTATGGCGCCAACGCCATCACCATCACCATGGCCAACGCTTGAGTTCCGGTGGCCAACCGAAGTTGCACATTTTCAACTGACCTCTTTGGCTTTGGTGTTTACGATCATTTTGTTCGTTAACAATCTGCTGGATAACGAATGTTATCTCGTCGGAGAAAACCAAAACCAAATTCGGCAGTTCAATACTTTCGGCCAAGCGAAGCAACTCTTTAGCTCTTTTGAGTCTATTTTCTTTATGTTGCGGTGTAAGTTCTTGCACTATTTAGAATTTCAATGGCTTTACCCCGAGCTCATTTTTCAATATTTGCCGAATGGAATATTGCGATACGTTCAGTCATTCACGAGTCATTTTTCGGCCACTGCGACGCGGATTTTAAGTCGATCAAGTCTCTTCTTCATTTTTCGAAACATTTCTGCTGATGTTGTTGTTTTCTTCCGTCCACTTCCTTAAAGTTGGGCTTCGCTACCAGTGTCACGGTAACGAGCGATGGTACGAGACACAAAAGATTTATTCACATTTAAATGCTGCAGTGCTCTAACTATAGCCACTCGTGGTTTTCCAGCCAAATATAGCGAAATCACCCTATCACGCCATCACGAATATTTTTTTATTCTGGAAAATTCTCACCAAAATGCTTTTGTATGCTTGTAAACAATATAATGAGCTGTCACTGGAATAATTTTAACAGCTGTCAGACGAGTGGCTAGAAATGACAGCAGTCTGATGTTGGTTGCTGTTTTTTCATCTCACCCTGTATATTACTAAATTACAACCATGGTAGAAAAATACAGGTAGATGCATGAACGCTTGGGAGCATTGATAAGTCAAAAACTTTTAAATTTCTTTTCCAATATAAGTAGATTTTTTATATGTTTTCTTATACGACGTCATTCGGAGGTTATTATAAAATGCCTTTTTCAACAATTTTTACAAATTTAAATAATTTTTCATTCAACATTTTCAATTCCAAAATTGGTTTGACAATTCATTGCCTCAGCAGCTGCGTCGATTATTATATTATTCTACCATTATTAAAACTCTACACTTTTATCCCTCACTGTTCACATATTTGTGAGTGTAATTGTAAGATTTTTCTATTTTTTATATCCTTCCTTCGCGTATGTCTGATGTGCACTGGCTAGCTAGCTGGCCACAATGTGCTGAGATATGGAACAAATCTAAGATGAATGAAAATATGAGAGGACTGTCTTGTTGTACAAAAGTGCATGTGGCCATCTAACATTAATGGTGGTACGGGGGGGTCTCGACACAAATATAATATAATATATTTGTGTGCATGTGTGTGGGTTTGTTTGTGCAAATATCTATGAATGTATGCATGTACACACAAGGCAAACACTGTGAATGATGAATGTCAGTCTGTGTCTGGTTGAGTGTGAAATTCACAAAAGTTACTGTTTTTTACAAGGATTGAATATTTTTTTGGTTAAAGGACTTTGTAATAAATACATTTTTTTTAAATTTCTACAACAATTCCATACCTCAAAAGCGTAAAATGCCCCTAATTGTAGTATCCTCTGGGCTTTTACGTTGCTATTTGCAACATATTGGTCATCTGTTGGTATTGACTCGAAGTTAATTCGCAATTCACAATTTGTTTTTTTTTTTTTGTATTTCCTTGCAATGCTTGTTTTTGGCCGAGCAGTAACATCAATGTCCTTGGTCAATTTTTCTAGTGCATTGACATTGTTTCATTTCTTTTTGATAATGGGTACTTTTTTTCTTAGTAAAAAATGGCCAAACAAATTATTTGCTAAATATTTACACTGCTCTGTGCATTTATTTATTGTAATTTATTTATCGTGAGTATTTTCACCTTTTTCATCACAACAATGCAAACTTTCACTTGTTCCATTTACATTGGAACCAAAAAATGAAAACGAAACTGAATCGTTGTGTTGTGTTTTATTTATGTTTTCCTTTTAATTTCACTTTTCACATTCTATGGAATTTTTGGTATGCTGGGAAAGACGAAGCCATGAATTGCATGTTGTCCTGACATTTAAAGGGGAGCCAAGGACATGAAGCACAACACCAGCCACTTCAGCCACTAACATATTAAATGCAAACCTAAGAACATATATATTCTTTAAAGAAATCCCATTCACGTTTTCGCAAACCGTGTCATTATTGCAATTGCAGTTTTTTTTTTTTGCTGGCAAATATGACTAACTGTAAAAATGGGAAAAAAAACTGTGAAACTATTTTTTCCAGCTCCTTTATGGCTAAGAGTATGCTTTGAATATATCACAAAATAAATACACACGCACGCACGAACACGCTTTCACACGGAATGTTTTCGTCGTTGGCTGGCTCCTAGTACACTACTCTACCGAAAAGTTGAATGTATATTGTATTAGAATTGGCTGGCTTTTGTTTTGCTTCTATTTTGGGGGTATACACTTCGGCTCTGACATTCTCTCGGAGACAAAGGCAATGTTTATTAAATGTGAGTGATATAAAGAAAGAGAAAAGGAGAGAGAGTAAAATCTACTAGGTAAAGTGTTAAAGAGCACAACCGTTATATGACATGCGCATTGTCATCCAGTAAACAGAATGGCAATAACGGTAACAATAACAATGATATGGAGTTGCCAACCCCCCAAATTAAATGTACATTACCAACTGTTGAGTAAATTGAAGTGAAGAAAGCGATATTTATTTTACAAGAAACTGCCATTTATTTTAATAGTTGTTTAAAAAAATAATTCATGAAAAAATAAAGAAAGTAAAGTCATTTTAACTAAGCATATCCATCTCTGCATTTTCTGTAATTTACCATGTCAGATTTTACTACATAGAAAACAGGATCCCATCTCTGATTTGTATCAACGCAATGAATTTATAAATATTAATTTTGACAACGAGATGTTGTCAAACGAATAATTTTGAAACAAATTATAAACATATGATTGCATGATCTTACCTTCTTAATTCTATCATGGAATAAATTAGCACGATCCCAAAAACTACTTCCTTCCTCGCCAAAGACCTAAAATGGTAAAGACTATACAAAATGCATTCTGAGCAAATAGTTTGTGTCTATACTATCCAAAAAAAAACGCTCATGACAGAGACATGTTAATATTAAAAACGCATTTATAGAGAATAATGAATAATTAAAGTTTGAAAAATCCAAAAATTTGGTTTCAAAATACTATTTCAAGACCTTTTCAAAAATCTACATATAGCTTTAGTGGTTTAAATCAGTTAACACTGGTAGCTATGTTGTTATGATATCTTCACAGTGTTGCCATATTTTCAATCTGTCTTGTCCTATTTTTATGACTTTGTCATCGTTAACACAAGGGATATATAATTCAACAAAGAATATGAGCATAACGGTCACAATAACAATGACTCAGAGTTGCCAACCACCAAATTAATTTGCGTTACTCACAGGAAACCCTCATCATATATTTTTTAGTGTAACGCAAGAAAATCGAAATATAAAACACAAAATGTTGAAGGGCTCTAACGATAGCCACTTGTGGTTTTCCAGCCAAATATAAAGAAATCACACCATCACGATTGAATTCCATCACGAATAACTTTTTTTCTGTCACTGGAATAATTTTAACAGTTGTCGGGCGAGTGGCTAAGATATGACAGCAGTCTGAAGTTGGTTGCAGTTTATTCATCTCACCCTGTATTATGTTTTAAAACAAAGATTTTAAGTAGGAGTATTTCTTATCAGAAAATGCTATAAATTTTGTAATCCTAATGTTTCAATTACAGCCAAAAAATATCGAAATGTCTGTCAGGTACATATGCATGTAGAAGGTGGTGCAAAAGTAAACTTCCGATATTTTTTGGCTGTAATTAAGACATTAGGGGCCAATCGTAAATTTTTATAACATTTTCTGATAGGAGGATTACTTTTGCACCACCTTGTATGTATATATTTTTTAGTTGCATATATTTTTATACAACAAACAAACAAGACTTTTTATTATATTTTCGAATGAAAATAGGGCTCTTGTGATCGAAAAAATACATTTGGGCTTTATTCGTTTATTTCACAACTGAAAAGGCGCCCACGTATCACATTACATAAAATATGATTATAACGAGCATGGTATCGATATCTATCTCTGACAGGTACTTTTATTAATTCTTTCAATATTTAAAGAAAAAATAATTGTGTATTTTTTTTTTTTTTTTTTTGTAAAGAAATCAATTGTTCCTTCTCTAAGGCATTTACTTTTTGTTCCAAGCAAGGTTATCCCCATGGATGCAAAGAAGAAGAAAACAGCCATTAAATAACTATTTTGGGTACCCGTAGATAAGAATTTTAAATTTAAACAGAACAGAGATATCTTTAGCACGTCTTTATCAACTGGGAGAAGACAAAACATTCAATTGCAAATTAATAACATTTTCATGCAAAATTAGTTTCTCTTATCAACATCGATTTGATAGATGTGGTCGGAAGTTTTTTGAGCCTCATTATGTTTGCTAAAGATTTCGTTTATGACATTGAGGAAATTAAAAACCACAAATTCCCATTTGCCTTTTGCAAAAATCTATAAAAAGAGACTACATGAATGTGTCAATGTCAAAACAAAGCTGGAGTGGAGTACGAATTATAACAGTGGGTTTACACTAAACGTTTTTAAATATAAAAAAATTGCTACAATTTTTAAATCCTTGAAAGAGATAATGTTTAAAAAACATTTTCTATTTTTTTCGCAGTGAAATATTTGATTTATACCTCTTTACTCCTGGCTGCTGGCCTCACTTTGACCAGGGCCGATAGTGTCAATGTGTGTTCCGGTGTAGCTGACAACATTTTCTTGCCGGTTTTGGGCAATTGCTCGGAATATTATGTGTGTATGGATGAGACACCTGTCAAGAGAAGTTGTGTAGAGGGTTATTTGTTCGATTCTCGCGTCCAATCGTGTACCCTTCCCGCCGATGCCCAATGTATACAAAACTGCACAACAGCATTGTCATCGTTCTGTTATGATCGCACCTGTACAAAGTATGTCCTTTGCTATGCCGGTACACCAGTGGTGCGAGAATGCTGCGATGGCCTACAGTACAATGCCGAAACGGATCGTTGTGATTTCCCACAATATGTAGATTGTGTGGACAACATGTGTACCATCTTCAATGATCCCACAAATATTACATTCTTGGCCAGCAAAGCCTATTGTGATAAGTATTATGTGTGCGTAGATGGTCAGGCAAATGCTCGTAACTGTTCGAATGGTCTGCAATTTAATACGGAATGTGATTGCTGTGATTTCCCATCCAAAGTTAATTGCACGGTGAGTGTTGAGGTTAAAAATAAAGGTGTTGCTACATAAGCAGCTTGGCATCATGGCGTGGCGTAGTAATGTTTAATTATAAAGGATAACGGCGGCAGGATTTTGATATGGCTTTGATATCCCTTTATGATATGTTACCAAATATGCCATGCCATGATGCCAAGCTATTTATGTATCATCACCTTAAAGGTGGGAATACATAAAGCGGTTATCTGGCTAGCTTAAGTCATTCTTCTTCGAAAAAGAACAAGAGAGTGTAAAGCCAAAAATCGAACTAAGTCAACCTAAAACTTCTTTGTTCATTTACGAAGAAGACAGCCAATGACGTAAGCCAGCCAAATATGCGCTTTATGTATTTTCACTCTAAGGGTGTTAGTACATAAGAAGCTATATTTTGTGGCATTTCATAAAGGGATTACAGAGCCGCCCTAAAATCCTGCCGTCGTTTTTCATTATAATTTGACATTAATATGCCTAGCCATGATTTCAAGCTTCGTTTGTACTTGCACCCTTAAGTCATTCGCGTTTGACAATTGACAAACTATAAGGGCTGCCAATAAATTTCTGCGTAATTACTTTTTAAAAATATGTTATTTGTTTCACTTTCAATTTTATAGATTTCCACGCTCCAACGTAACATCAAACCCTTTGCCAAGAGTCCACCCAAAGCTGCCGACATCAAATGCCCCTCGGAAGGCAGTCACTTTTATCCCCACATCAATCCTGAAAAATACTATTTCTGTTTGAATGGCCGCGGTGTTATATTGGAATGTACCCCTGGATTAGTGTACGATAAATTTATGGAGACTTGTCGTGAACCGTCCAATATTGGAAAGGAAAATCTATTTAGAATTGCAAAACATTAATATCGAAAATTTAAATTAAATTCAAAATGAAATGAAATCAAATCTGCATCAACTAGTTTTCATTTTATGATTAAAAAAACGGAAATTAATTCTTATTAGAGAAATAGTCCGAATACACATTAGGCAAGTTTACTTACGGCAAGTCACTGGTTGTAGGTGAGAGAGGTAAGGGAAATGAAAATGTAATCCCTTTATGAAATTTCACAAAATATGACTAGCCATGGCCTCAAGCTTCTTATATACTTACACTCTGAAAAATATTTATTTTTTCTTCGTCCCTCTCTTCCAAAAACGAACATTTCTTTACGCAAGCTTTGATTGTGTGGTAACTGCTTAAAGATGCATGTCGTCTGATGGCACTTTATGTAACTACGTGATGAATTAAAACGCTATAATCAATGCGATTTTGTAGAATGTCAATTGTATAGTTGGATAAAGAATACATTTCGCCGTGTAGTACCTTAAGTGAATATGTGAAAAATTTAACGTCGCCATATTTTATTTACGCAAACTTTGCCTGGGTGGAATCTACATAAAGACGCATGTCGTCTGATGGCACCTTATATAACTACGTAATGAATTGAAACGCCACAATCAAATCGACTTTATAGATCGTCATTTGTATACTTGGATAAAGAATACATGTCGTCGGATAGTACCTTAAGTGAATATGTGAAAAATTAAACGTCACAATCTGTATGTGAATTTTTCAGTCCGTATATTTGATTTGTATTGATAATTAAATTTATTTTTTATGAGTTTATCTATTCCTATATTTGGGTTTACATTATTTAATAATTTGGATTAATAATTAAATTTATTTTTTAGGAATTTATTTATTCCTAAAATATAGAGTTCAATGAAAAAATATTTATTTTTCTTTATCCCTCTTTTCCAAAAACGCACGTTTCTTTACGCAAACTTTGCCTGTGTGGTAACTGCATAAAGATGCATGTCGTCTGATGGCACCTTATGTAACTACTTGGCGAATTGAAACGCTACAATCAATGTGGCTTTGTAGGTCGTCAATTTTATACTTCGATAAGGAGTACATGTCGTCGGATAGTACCTTAAGTGAATATGTGAATATTTGAACGTCGCCATCTATATGTGAACTTTTCAGTCCGTATTATATTTGATTTGTATTAATAATTGGATCAATTTTTTATGAATTTATCCATGGCTGAAGAATACAATGCTTGGGAGCATTGATATGTCAAGAAAAATAAAACGTTTTTTTTTTTTTCAAATATAAGCAGATTTTTATATGTTTTCTTATACGACGTCATTCGGAGGTTATTATAATTCGTGTTTATCAACAATTTTTACAAACTTAAATTATTTTTATTCGACATTTTTAATTCCAAAATTGGTTTGACAGTTCATCGTCCCAGCAGCTGTGTCGATGCTTCTACCTATATTATCCTACCATGAATTTATCTATTCCTATATTTACGTTTACATTATTTACATTTATTTAGTTTTCATAATCTATACAATGCGTCTGAAATTCCTGTTTAATGAAAATATATTTTCATAAAATTGTTTGTTTAGCATAATTTTTTTCAATAAAAGTTTACATTTCACATTGACAAAGAACAATAATTGATTCCCCAAAATATAATTTAAACAAATATACCAATAATACAAATATCACGTGATATTAATTAATATACATATATTTTATGAGTCATTCTAAAAACATTCAATGACTAAAAATCCACGTTATTGTCATTAAGAATACAATTGTTTTTCGATATGCTACCTACAGACAAATGTCTACGAAATTTCCTGACCACCTTGCATTACAAATCATTCTATAAATAGTCAATCGAATTATAATGACAAATAGCTAATTTAATGCTAATCTCATTCAAATTTATTACATTTCATGCTAATCCAATAGACAAATGAACATTTTCTGCATTTTACTGACCTACACTTCTATTGATCGTTTGAAAACTGCAATGGGTGTTTGTTCTCTTCCTACATGGCTCTTAACAAAATGCTAAGTGTCTTGTTTTGGCACTCACTCACTCTCTCCCTCTCTCATACTCTGCCCCAAAAGAGAAACAAATCTAAATATACTGTTACACACATGTTTTGTTTGTGAAAAACAATGCTGTGGCTGCTGTGCGTGTATCCCCCATCCGTTGCCAGAAGAAAAATCATTTTCGAATCCGTATTGAATTTTCAGTATTTAACCAAAAGCCGAACAATAAACAACAATCTTAAAATCTTAAACGGATAATTTAAATAAGAAATAACAAAAGAAGAAAAAGAAAAAAAACAACACCAACATTTCAAAGCAATTCGCCCAACAACAAAATAAAAGAAAAATCTGTAAGTTTTTAAATAGAATAGGTCTCAAAATAATAGACATTTGTGGTGTTTTTCATCCTGCCCCTCCTCAAAACGAGGGAAAAACTTAGACAGACAAATAAGAAGAACGCCAGCAATTTAATAACAATATATAAACTAAATTGCAGTGAAGTGAAATGAAAGTTCTATTTATAATATTACCCTACATTGTAACAAAAAAAATGTTCAAGGAAAAGAAAAATATGAAATGGTAAAATTAATTTTAAATTATGGAAAAGTGATGCGAAAGAGAAATGTGAACAGTAATAATTAATTAAATTACTTTCATTTTCAATAATCGGGAGTTTTTATAACGATTTCCAATCAAAATACATGTTTTTTTATTGCAATTCCCAAAGGGACACATTTTTGCTATCATTTCAATGTGAATGGTGACTTTTTTGTGCAATATCATGGGCAATTGGCAACCTTTTTGTATATTCTTAAGAAAGGATATTGTTTATTGTACTTTTTTAAGAAAAGGGTACGTTTCTCTGCCACCTTCAATTGAAGACATAATGTTTAGTACCATTTCCAACGGAGGTGCAATTTTTAGTACAATTCGAAGAAAAAGTATTCTTTTAAGTACTATTCTCAATTGCCAGGGTACTTTCTGTTGGTATTTCTTAGGGAGATATAACGAGATAGAAAGAAAAGTTTCAAAGTAAAGGTGCAAGTACATAAATAGCTTGAATTCATGGCTAGGCATATTAATGTCAAATTTTAAAGGAAAGCGACGGCAGGATATAATGCGGCTCTGTTATCTCTTTATCAAATGTCACAAAATATGCCTAGCCATGACTTCAAGCTTCTTATGTACTAACACCTTAAGTACATAAAATGGTAGAAGAATATAGGTAGACGCATCGACACAGCTGCTGGGACATTGAACTGTCAAACCAATTTTGAAATGGAAAATGTTGAATGAAAAAGCATTTAAATTTGTAAACATTGTTGAAAAACGTGAATTATAATAACCACCGATCGACGTCGTATAAGAAAACATATAACAATCTACTTATATTTGAAAAAATATTTGGATTTTTTTGACATTTCAATGTTTCCAAACAATGATGCATCTACCTGTATTCTTGTGCAATAGAACTTTTAATTACATTTTAAGAGAGTTTGGAATGGTATAAATTCCAAGCGATGTGGGTACTTTTTCCTATAATTTTCAAGGAAATGTTGTATTTTAGCACCTTATCCAAGACCAAAAGGGCTGTTTCGTAGGATATAACAAAGAAAGCGTAAATTTGTCAAGGGAACAAAAACTGTTTAGTACATTTTTTTATTTTTCGTCCCTTCATTGTCAAACGTCAAACGTAGTTCTTGAAACAGATATAAAATTTAAAACAAGAAACTATAATATTGGTCTGATAAATCATGTAAAACTTAATTATGGAATGGTTGAATTTGGGTTCGCTTAGGACAAGTGTTTTCCAAAAATTTTGTTTTCCAAAATTTTAGTAGAAGATTGTCATCTCTTATTTTCAGATAAATCGACATTAATTTTTTATAGCGGGTATTGTGAAGATTTTGGCAACATTTTTCAGCTGGTAAATCTGGGGGTTTGATCCTTAAAGGCGGACCTAAAATAAAACATCATTCGAGGCCTACACAAGAATTGACATCACCGTAAACGTTCCCTTAAGATTAAGGGGTTGAAATCTTTATATGTTTAAGTCCAAGAATAGATAAATTAAGGTAGTATTCCTAAAATATATTTTTATTTCAAAAGGAATGGCGAAAATAAATAATTATTTATTATTTTTGTAAAATCTGCCACTCGTCGTACGAAAATATTTTAGATATGAGAAAGATTTGATTTAAAAAATGACAAGGTCGAGTTTGTCAAAAAAGAGTTGCCATATTAATTTTGACAAATGAGTTTACCTTTATTGTTTTGCCATGATATGAAGCTTCTTTCTACCAAGATTTAGTAAAAAATAGGAAAAAGAGTTATTTTAGTACGATTTTCAGTAATTACCCTGAATTACCTGTCAGAATTTACCCATTCATCATAAAGACATTTTATTATTATTATTTTTTTTTTTTTTGACAAATCATAAATTCAAATTTCAAATTTACTTTTGAATTGTGACGCCCTTGCCCTTTATTATTCGTTTTCAACAAAGCATGAAATTTGAATATGCTATACATGTGTCCACAACTTTTCAGCCAATGTATTTCTAATATTCGAAACTACATGTGTATATGTATGTCAAGCGTGTATGTCTATTCATTTCACAAAGTTGTTCTATTGTTTTCAATATTTTCCTGGCTGTGAAGAAATCAATGCGGATATTCTAAAATTTTGACAGCTAGCCAAAATGATGTTTCATTAACACTTGTCTTTCGGTTTTTAATTGAAAATATTAACGAAAAAATTCCATACTTGTTGTTACAAAGCCCATTTATAGGCAATGGCACCGATTGTCGCCAGTGTAGGGGGCTATACTATGTAGTCTAGTCTACAAAATTTCTCTTACCTGGGCACAAAAGAATGCGTATCTTGCTTTGGGCGATGGGCGGCGGGCAGGGCAAGCTGCCTGCTGCCCTGACCGTTGTTGTTTGTTTAGTCATTGTTGTTCACACAACAATTCTGTGTGTCAGTCATCGTCAATATGTATTTTTAAATTTTCTACTTAATGTTTCTTTCTTCTGTTTTGCTTATTTTGCAGAAACAGACAATACCCCACCAGCATCCATCAATCATGGTCAATGAAATTAATAAACCCTCTTCGGTCACGGATGGCCCCCCTGCTCTTGACAATGCGCAATTAGGTCAGCGTTTGGCATCCTCCAGTCAGGCACTTGTCGAAATGCAAACCGAACATCAACAGCTCATGCAAGAAATGGAACAGCTACGAGTACGTGCCGAACAGCTACAAAGTGTCCGTGAAGTCCAAGAAGAACAACACGAAATCGAAACTCATCGAGTGTGCGAACGTTCGGTGGAACAAGTCAGCCGTTCGGTGGCCGCCGAAGAAGTTATGCACATACGTTGTACCACAACCGAAGAGGTGATTGTCGAGGAAGTCGATGAAGATGAAAATCCTGAGGAGGCGGAATATATTCGTGCCAAGTTAGCTGAAATTGCCAAGTTAAAGGCCCAGTTCAATAGAGTTCAAAATATGATCTCCACCACGGATATGATAGAGAAACACATAGGAGAACAATCATCGGTGGCTGAGATAAAACAAGCTGCCGAAGCCATACGTAGTGCAACGGCTTCGTCCAGTATGGTCAAGCAGGCCAGTCAAGAAGTGGTGCAGCAGCAACAAGTTTCCCAAACCTCATCGTCTAGCATGATCAAGCAGGCTAGCCAAGAAATTGTGCAACAACAACAAATTTCCGAATCCATTCAAAGCTCCTCGACATCGAGTGTCACACAGCAAGCCAGCCGTCAAATTGTGCAAAAACAAGAATCCTCAGAAACAATTCAAAGTTCCTCCTCCACCAGTGTCACCAAAGAGGCACGACATGGAGTAATGCAACAACAAACAGCTGTATCTTCATCCAGCAGTGCCATTATGGAATCATCGGTAGAACAAAGTATTTCCTCGTCATCATCAACAACATCGGGCGCCATTACGGCCGGTGGCTCCGATGAGAAACAACAGCTCTTGGAATCAATGATAGATATGTTTCAAGATTTGAATTCTGATCTGAAGACGCAAGCCGAAAGTCTTCGGGAGGAAAGGGAACGTATTAAGGCACTGAAAGAACACATAATTGCCTCCAAAAAGGAACAGCCTCAGTAGATTGTAGAAAAGAAAAGCTAAGGGATGATGTGAATTAAGTTTTAATAAAAATTATTGACAATTTATAAAATTAAGTGTTGTGCAATTTTTATTTAGTCCAAAAATGAGGTTTTACTAGAAAGGGATGAGGGTGCATGAAAGAAGCACTGTCTTTGGAGACATTCTCTTCCCAATACATAAGCCCATGGTACAATAAGGAGGTAGAACATCTTCATAAAACTACAGAAATACAGCCCGGTGGCTATGCCCACTTCCTTTCAAACTCATTCAAAATTATATGCAACCAGTTTTCATTTTTTTCATATTTTCCCCATTTTTAAAATGAGTTATATAACGCGAAAAATGAATGACGCCTGAATTTTCTCTTAAAAATATAATCCAAACTATTCTTTCAATTTCATGGCTAAACTGGTTAATATCTTTAATATGTGAGCCGCAATGTACGAGTTTCCAATCATTTTGAATATGTTTTGTTTTCCTTTTTCAAAACAATAATAAAATTGACAGAAGTCGGGTACAGTAGCAGTACGGTATTTACCATACCATGTCAAATCAGAAAAAAGAGAAACTTAAGAGATGCATTTTCTGTCATTTAAAATGACAAATATAACTGCGTAGAAAACAATTTCTGCTTTGTGTGTACACAATGGATTTATAATTTAAAAAAATGTTAACATGTGATTTTACAAGGTTACCTTCTAAATTCTACCGTGGTGTAGACCAATCCAATATTAAAATTCGTATTATGCCGCTCTTTCCATTTTTTAAACTTAAAAACATTGCATTATCTTTTATATTTTCTAAATAAACTTGCTGCATATTTGACACTGGTGGGAATTTTATTTATTTTCTTATTAATCTCTCTCCCTTTTATTATTCAAACATAATTTTTGTAACGATTTTCTCAAATCTCGTATGTAAGCAAGGGACATACAAGCAAGTCATACGCCGTACGCCAATATGTTGCTTTATGTACACATCACTGTGGCAACGCTGTGCACAACATAGACTGCTGTCAATGTCAGCCGGGTTCAGAGAGTAACTTTGTCGGAGAGTTTTCTTTTTTGCATTGAGCTGTATTGTTTATTCAATTTGCATTAACTATTATTAAGTTTTTGTGTTAAGCAACGACAAAACACTTTGAAATCTCTAAATGTCGCACATAAATCTCATAAATACAATAAACAAAAGAATGTAACAAAAAAGCGTCTCAAAAAGTGATTAACATTTAATGAAGAGAGAGGAAAAAAGTAAAGGGGCGTACGAAAAAAAATCAATGAAAAATACATAATTTTCCATCTCAAAGTATCTACTTGTGACAGGCAAACAAATTTTATAACGAAAAAATCATGTCACCAGCACCAACAAAAAATCCTAATATTCCCAATAAAGTGTCCAGTAATACAGCAGTTCCTAATAGCAATAGTAGTTCTTTTCATAATCCCTCAACAAGTAGTGGGTCGGGAGGCTCATCATCAGGAGGGCGTAGTAAACAAACTGGAACCGTACCCAAGGCTACAACGACGGCAGCAGCAAAAATATCTTCATCAACGACGAATAAACAACAAAGTGTTAACCCAGAAGTAAACGATCTTCAACAACAACAACAACAGCCACATAAACCAATTTTACAACAACCTGCAGTTGTGGCTCAACAGCATTTATCCAATCGTTGCAGTCCCTTAAATATTGTGGCATCCATACAACAACAGCAGCAACATGCCCGCAATCAACATCCAGCCGGGGGTCATCATCATCATCTTCAACAACAGTTGCATAAAAATACTGAAATTGTTGCTCCAATTCGTCGAGAGTTGAAGGACCTAAATGTAAGTAAAGGACAATGCGTTTAATTGATTAATTACATGGTAATTCGTTAGCTTACGCCGTAGGAAATTATTTGCATTGCAACATGAAAATGGAAGCAAGAAAGAGCTGCAGTTATATTAAATATATAAATTGGGAGGCCTAACTAAGTAAATGTGTGTCTGTCCATTGTTATTGAATGGAAGCAAAAAATGTCGGAAATAGCATCAAATTTTAGAATAAGTTTAGATTTGTTCGAATTGGTTACCTTTGGGGCGAATTATGACCGGCTAATGAAACCGTCACACGCCGCCCGAATGTTGATCTGTGGTATTTTGCCCCATTCCCGGGGAAGCGCTTGCTTGAGGTGATCGACACTTGGTATTTTTAGTGCCAACCCTGCTTTCCAAAATACTCCAAACACAATAGTCCAACGGATTGGTATTCTAAGATTTTGGTGGTCATTGTGCGCTGGAAATGAGAGACTCATTTTGTAACCATTCTTGGGTGGCGCGTGCTGAGTCCTTTTGGAATGTCCAAGGTATGCGGCCAAAACGTTTGCGTGCCTCAGGCTTTAATACACCCTCCAGAATATTTTCGCTATAATATTCGGCATTTATTCTGATGCCACGGTCGATTAATACGAGCCGAGAGAGACTATCGGCTGTTATGTCGGTGGCTGGTGGCCAACCGACACATCTGGTACACATTTTCAGCTGACCTCTTTGGCAAGTAAACACGATCATTTTGTTTGTTTACAAACTGCTGGACATTGAATGTTTTCTCATCGAAGTAAACCAAAACCAAATTCGGCAGTTCACCACTTTCGGCCAAGCGAAGCAACTCTTTAGCTCTTTTGAGTCTATTTTCCTTCTGTTGCGGTGTAAGTTTTTGCACTTTTTGCAAGAGTTCATTTTTCAATATTTGCCGAATGGAATATTGCGATATGTTCAGCTCACGAGCCATTTTTCTGCGACGCTGGTTTCGATCAAGTTGCCTCTTTACTTTTCGAACCATTTCTGCTGATATTACTGTTTTCTTCCGTTCACTTCCTTGACGTCGGGCTACGATACCAGTATCAAGGTGATGTGCGTTGGCCGAGAACAAAAGATTTATTCACATTTAAACACTGGAGTGCTCTAACGATAGCCACTTGTAGTTTTCCAGCCAAATATAAAGAAATCACACCTGAATCACGCTTGAATTCCATCACGAATAACTTTTTTTCTGTAAAATTCTCACCAAAATGTTTTTTTTAGATGCTTGTAAACAATATAATGAGCTGTCACCGGAATAATTATAACAGCTCTCAGACGAGTGGCTTAGTAGTGACGGCAGTCTGAAGTTGGCTGCAGTTTTTTAATCTCACCCTGTATATGGAGTCTCCGATAAATATTTCTAACAAATAGTCATACTCTCCACTTTATCTTTGTCTTTTTGAAAAATCTTGTCAAAATACTAGATCCAAGTGTGAAAAATAGCGGATCCCTCCCTAACATACAGAACGTCTCTAATATGTTATAAAAATCGCCATCTATAGCTTTTGTGCAAAATTCAATTCTTAGGAAATAAAAATTATTGAGTAAACTTTTAGGCGCCTATATTTATGCCACAACAAATAGATATTTTCCTAGGAAAATATACAATGTGGATGAGTATGAAAGGCTACGGGACCGACCAGGGAACTCAACCTTGACATTCTGATATTTCATAAACTAAAATGGAATTTATATACAATTTCCAATGCATTGCAATCACATCAATCCTCCTGTCACTACGCTGATGCTTTAGTCTGCGTCATAATTTCCAAAAATAACAAAAACAAACATAACACAATGATATGATATGAAATAACATAAATAATCAAAACTGACACCCACGAATCCAACAAACAAAAATTGCATTAGAAAAAAATTGTTTAAGAAAAAACGATTTCCTATTCCCCCAGCATCATTGTTCTTCCATTCATGAAAATCTCATTGAATTTAAAAAAAAAATGAAGAAGAAAGAAAGATTTTCCCACACATTCTCTTGCTCTCATTTGTTTACTTTGGTTTTTCAAAAACGAAAAGAACTCTTCGATCTTTGCCATAAGATTTTCCACATGAGCTCTTGCTTATGTTGCGTAGTAGCATTGTATACGGCCGAGATAACGAACATCCCAATATCGAACGCTTGTCGAACTTGACGAACAATAAAAAAAAAGAAAATATCAAACGAATTACAATTTTTTGATTTGATTTCTATAAATAACGAGAAAGCAAAAACTTTACAAAATTGCTTGGCTAATATTTGTTATAACTATTTGTTTGATATTCCTATACCATTTCAAGGATTATCTACTAACCACAGTGGTGACAACATCTGCGGCAAACACCATCACCAACAATAATTCAACATTATTGCAGCAGCAACAGAGCAGCGGAGGAGGAGCAGCAGCAGCAAGTAGTGATATCGGTAAGTTAAGCAAAAAAAGTTATTTTTTATATAATAATGTCTTCGATTTTCAGTTAAAACAAAATTTCCTTTAAGTAATTCACACAATGTGTTTCAGTCTTGGCTGTTTGTACCTTTATGCGATATATTTTGTAGGATCTATATTTAGATATTGTGTGTGAGTGTTTATAGTATTGCTGCATACAACGTCTGCTCTATATATATACACCAAATTACTTGTGTGTTCTTCTATCCATTCAATATATATTAGTGAAATTCTTAGTCATGCTGGTTTCCTCTTTGATTTATTTTCGAAATAAAAACAAGAAATTTCTATTCAGCCTAAAGAACTATAAAAGATTTTGCCATTTCACATTTCGATTAGAAGTTTAACTCTTACAATTGTGTAAATAGTTTTTCCTCAACGTTTTTGCGCTCATCAGATAAAATTGTAATGTAACCACAGGCGTTCAAGTGAATCTGTCGAACAGAACGAAAATGACGGGTTTAGTAGCCCTTTACAGCAAAATCCCTCTTAAATTATTTAGAAGACACCAACAAATGTCGTCCTAGTTTAAATAAGCAACCCATTTCTCCATTTTGTATTCAAAAGTCAAATATTTAACATTCACCCACTAGCCTCTTTTGTTATTGAAAACAACAAACTAATACATTTTTCATTTTCTTCATTTCACAGAAAGTTCCCAAGAAAATCAACAACGTTTTTGTTACCCCGTACGTCCGATACCGCGAAGAAATCAACCACCACAAGTCCAGAATCAACAGCAGCAGCAATTGCAAAACGATTTCCTGAATACAGCAGCGGCTAACGTTGGCAATACAAATTTAAATACGACCATTGGTGTTGTCATACCACACACACCGGGTGTACCCCCAGCTCCTACACAATCCAGCAATAACGCTGCCTCAACTGTAGCAGCAGCAGCAGCGGCAGCACCTGCAATACCCACTGTTCAGCCAATACAACCAAGTTCCAATATTGCCCAAAATATCACACAAACAATTAATGACAATCAGGCCGTGTTGGGTGCCCAATTTGAACAGCAGATTCAATTGATTGTCCTGCAACGTTTACGGCAACTGTTCGAAAACTCTCAGACAAGTCCATTTTTGAATTTAACCACCAGTTTGCTACCCGGCATACAGGCTTCATCCTCAGCAGCATTGGCAAATACCATTCTCAATCACAATACCAACGAAATTTCCCAGTTGGCTCAACGTTTCCAGATTTTAAACAACAATCAAAAACCCCTACTTGATAATTCTTTGGCCCAGGCGCAGCCACAAAAGTGTTTGAAAGCAAAAACCTCTGCCATGGTGCATGAAATTAACCCAAGTCCAAGTGGACAACATGAAGTGGTTGTAAATTCCACAAGTTTGGAAGATGTGCCCCAAAGCAATATGAGTGACAGGGCTCAGTCCATACAGTCTTTGCACAGCAACATAGAAACTCCCACTCCAGATACCACACCTTCGTATGAGGAGTTGCAGGCTCGCCTCGAGGCATCCAATCGCAACATACAAAACATGCAGGAACAACAACAACAACTGCTAAAACTACAAAATGCTGCCAAGCAACATTTAAGCGACATGGAAAGGCTAAGGCAGCAAGCCGGGACATTGAGCTTTGCCACCGGTGGCACATCGGATGGTGCCCCTGACTACGAATCTGTTGGCCAGGTGCAAAGTGATGTTGCCAACCTAGTGGGACGCATGAAAAACCTCACGTCGTTTATACAAAACCAAAATGATCTCTCCAGCATGCTAGGCGAAGATTGTCCCGAAATTTTGGCCGAACAACAGGTCTTACAAAGAAAACTGGAAGCCTTAAGGGCCCAACGAGATGAAATGCGTAATTTAGTTTCGGAATTGCAAAGTGTTAATCGTACCGCGGAGGAAAGTGCCAAGGAGGCCCGACAACGGCAATTTGAGCAAGAAAAAGATATTGAAGAAAATAATGATCACCAGGAACAAGCCTCGGCAGCTGCAGCCCCACTAACTCAATCGAAAAAAGCCACTGATGTTGAGCGCGAAGTACCAGTGGAATTCACCAGAAATGTACCCATAGAGTTACTGCAACATGCCCAACGTCCACGTCCCCAAATGAATGGTAATGAGGCATCCGAGGCGGAAGAAACCGACATGGATGAAGATGAACGCAAAGAGACGGCACATTTGATACAACAAAAAGTTGCCGACATTGAAGCCATGAAGGCTCAACTCAAACGGCTCAAAGATATGATGGAAACTGTCAGTCTGATTGAGGCTCACACGGGCAAAGATGAAAGTCGTACCCCCACCAGAGAAGTACCCATAGTATATGATCGTGAGCGTACTCCAATTGCCATGCCCTCTCGCTACAATGACAGCAATGGCAATGAAGAAGTCCTGGCACGCAAGGTTCGCATGCTCAATGAAGTCACCTCGGATTTAAGGGCACAAGCCCAATCGCTGCAGGCCGAAAAGGATCGTATAAATTTGCTCAAAGAAGAGATAGAAAGGCGTAAACAACAAGCTGCGGCAGCTGTACAGTTGGGCGATGACGCCTTAAAACGTAACAGCTTAACACCAACACCAGTACCCCAACAATCGGCCGCGCGTACCCACGAGGAGCGTTGGGAGGAACATTTGCGAACGCAACATGAACGTGATGCCCTCAAGGAAGAATATGAGCGAAAGAAGAAAGAATTTGAAGTTATCTGTAAACGTTTGGAACAAGAGGAGACGCCCTCACAACAGCAGGCTGGCAGCACTGGACGTCAGGATATTGTTTCGGAAGCTGACGATGAAGCCGAAGAGGATAACATGGAATCGGATTATGCAGAAAGTGCTAAATTTGTTCCCACCTCAACACCAGCAACTTCGAGGAATAATGAAAGCAATTCAAATGCCAGGACAGGCAAGGATTCTCTCAACTCAACTGGGGTCTCCTCGAATGCCGGTACACACATAGCCCAGGCAGCCAGTTCATCGGCCCATGATGGAGCCTCCTTGGAGGGTGCCAGCATGCAGTCGGGTAGTTCGCGGTCGTTTTCGATACCACCACCAATGTCGGCAATGGGCATAAATTTTCGTAAGTAGCCTATTTCGGCCTATCAAAATTTATCCATTTTCAAAGGACACACCTTTAAATATTTCCGTCCGTTTATAAGATTTTATTGTAATTGTCCAAACTAAGCCGACCTCTTAAACTCACCCTCTTGGTCACGAAAAATACTTATATTTCCAATCCTTCCTATACTCTATTCATCCCAGTCCGCTGTCATTTATTCACGTATGAAGAATCTATTCTTGGTATCCAATGCACCCGTTTGTTGTCGTCACAAACACAGATCTCCTTTAGACTCTCTTCAAATCGTCCTCCTTAAAGTCATCATTTTTAGAAAAAACTTTCTACTGACCGACCATAAAGACTGATTTCAAGATAACTTAGAATTACCCTCCTCAACCCAGATTTAAGAGACTTATCTCTTTAACATATTCTTCCACATCCTTAAAAGAACAGGTCCATGAATACATTTCCAATGATATTTGTTTTTTATTTTTCAGCCGGCCCCATACCACCACCATTACCGACTGCATGGAATCCTTATTACTATGCTACAGGAGTACCGCCACCACCTCCTCCCCCACCACAAGCCAGCTATGGTTTGGCCCAGAGTGCCGGCCATAATGTCACTCTGAGTAATAGTGAATGCATTTGTACAGCCAATAATCTTGGCCATGCCGCCACCACTTCATCATCGACAGCCACAAGTGCAGCTACCAATAATGGAACACTAGCCTCCGATCCAATGTTGCAACAATTCATACAAACCCAACAAATGCTGATTAACTCGGTGTGTCAGTGCAATCAAATGTTGTGGCATCAACAGAGGGAAATTGATAATCTCAATCAAACCATACATATATTGCAGGAGCGCATTATATCGTTGGGAGGGGGAGGAGGAGGCGCTGTAGGCAATAACGAAGTGGGTGGAGGTTATACATTACGTTCGGAATCGGTGCCACCACCTAGCCTGGGAGGTATACCAGCTACCCAAGCTTTACCCAATAATTTGTACATGACCATAAATCGTGCTCAATCAGAACAACCGGCTAGCATGTACATCCCGACTGTGGGACAACAAAGAAATAATGGCTATGGTAGCTATCAGCAGCAGCAACAACAACAGCATCATCAACACCATGTATATCGCAGAGTGTCACAACAACCCCATCATTCTGCCCCAGGGGCTGGTTACAATTTTAGTGCTGAAACCCAGCAACATAATTCTTCGTCCTCGGCATCGGCTAGCATGTTTTCCACATTGAATAATGCCACAGTGCCACCCCAGCCAGCAGCGACAACTTTATTCAACAATGAAATACCCACACCTCCTTCACCGGTCGTAGGATCGTCCGGCGGACCAGCACCGATTTTTATGCATCACCATAACAACTCTATACACCAGAATAATGCCAATTTACGTACCCAAAATCAACAGCAACAACATCATCATAGCAATATTGCTGGCAACAGTACTCTGAATAATCAGGTACCTCCAGGAAATCGTGCCAATAATTATTGGGATAATTTTAGAAGGTAAACAGTAAAAAAAACATTTCTTCTATAACTTTTCCAAGCACAGGTGTAAGACACAGAAAAAATTTCATGAAGGAAATTTGCAATTGATGGGCCAAGGGGGAGATGAATGAGAGAAAGATGTCAGTTCGTCTTGAAGTAGTTGAAAAAAGGGGAGTTTTTCGACTTGACAGTTGGAGGTGGGATTTTTTTTAAGACGAAATGTGTTTTAAGTTTTTAAAGATAATTCGCTAAAGGATTTCTTCAGACCAGTAGAATTGAGAGCAGATAGACCACAAAAATTAGTATTTTTATGCCACCCAAGGAAGGACTTAATAGACGATGAGGGGTTATTTTTTTTGATGACCAAAACAAATTCTAGAAGTCTATATAAAGTCATAGATTATTATAAGGGACTCTTTATAGACGACCATAGCGAAGGCTTAAAGGAACACTGAAAACATGGTTTATATTTTATTTTGGAGGGTAGCTTTCACAGAGTACAAAATAAAACAGGAGATCAAAAACGAATACTGAAATATTTACCAATATTTTATAACGACAAAGGGGGTTTCATAGACAGCTAGGCAGAAGTCTTGGTAGGGGATCAAAATACAGTATTGTAGACCAGAGACATTTAGTTTTAAAGGAACTCCAGAATACGATTTTTATGGACCAGAAGGTTGTTGTAGGAGCTCGTACTGCGTTGTTTGTTCGTTTTGATTATTTCTTCTCCATTCCGGCTCAACTTCTAACTCCAAGTTCAAAAATGAATCGACCTGTATTGGTTGGGTCCACACCGAAACAGGAGTTAATTGAGTACGTTTTTTTTTTTTTTTTTTTTTTTTTTTTTTTTTTTTTTTGGTGTCCATTGCTTATATTGCTAGCGATACTTCTAGAAAATTACCTTCAACTGTATACTGAACATGGAGCTGTAAAATTAATGTGAAATTTGCCTCATTTATTTCCTCCTCTTGCCCATGAGCAGCATTTCTCCTTTCATGAGTTTTACTTTCTGTGTGTGCGGAAGGCTATTTATACAGAAATATTTGTAAAGATTGTGGAATTTTAAAGATTTGTTTTTATATTTTGTTATTTTCTTTTTAAATATTGAAAAAAAATTGGAAATATTTAAAGTTTGTTATCTAAAATTGCAATAAATTCACACAAATCTTTTTAAATATACAACAACAAAACTTAAGCATAGAAATCTTTACTTGACTTACTTATAATGAAAAAAAATGGCTCATTGGGGTTTGATTCTGAATATCAGAAATGTCCTCTTTTAAAGATTAAAAATCAAGTTGTAAGTAGCAACACCCAGTTGTCGGCCTCTAACCAATATTTAACCGCCCATGTTTTGTTATTTGTTTTAATGTTTGCATGTTTTGCGCCCTGATAACCAAAATCCATTGTTGCTTTTCTTCTTCTTCTCATTGCATATTAACACAAAATGTTTGTCCACACCAACAAAAAAAAAACAAAAAGCTATTCACGGCAAAATCTGCTTTCAACTAATTCCAATAAGAGTAACGAAGAGCAACAGCAAATGTTGCAGCAGCAACAACAACAGCAGCAGCAACAAGAAACCAATAGCTATGATAGATCACAAGCTATGCAACAGCAACCCCAGCAGCAGCAGCAACATCCCTCCCAGCAGGCACAAATTTTCCACGAACAAAATCTCAATCTTGAGGATTGTGTGAATAACTTGAATTTTTCCACCGTCAGTCCAAATAATGAGGCGGCCTCAAAGTATTTACGTATTTTACAAAGATCACGCATCAATCAGCAACAACAGCAGTTGCAATATCAACAGAATTCATATCAGCAGCAACAACAAAGGGAGCTGCAACAATTGAATTGGCTGGAACAGCAACATCATGAAAATAACAATAGCAGCAGTAATACGGCCACATCGGGTGGTACAAACGCCAACAATGCCACGAATAGCAATGCTACGGATCTAATGTATCACAATTACAATATACAACAGAATAACAAAATTGGTCCCAAGCCCAATTGGCGTTTTCGCAATTTAAACGAGGACTACAATGTGGCCATAAATCGTATACAAGCCAGGCAATCCTTGCCACGCTATCAAAATACCGGATTTGCTGCAGGTCCACAGTATTTAAATCTACATCAGTCCTCCTCACCACAGGCTAATAGAAATCATGATTTTCTTTTGCATGTTCAGGATGAGGATGGGTTTAATTTTTTGAATAGCAACCATCATCAGCAGCAGCAGCAAATGCCACTGGATTATTCGACCAGTAATGCGCAGAATATAATGCCTCCCGAGGCCTGTCACGATGATGACAACAATGAAGAGGACGAAGAGGAAGACGATACAACATCCGAGGAGATTAAACGAAACCTATTGGTCAATGCTCTGAAAAATGATAAATTTACCACTAAATTTTATGAATCCATAAAGGAGGATGTTTTTAGGCGTCTAGAAAGTATGCTTTTGGATAAGGATAACGTTCAGGCACAAGCAACAGCAGCAGCTGGTCATCCTATGGCAGCACCTCAATTATTCAATAACATCAGCAGCAGCCATCATCCGTTAAGGAAACTCAATCTCAATGAACAAAGGGATCAGCTGCAACAACAATTGCAACAGCAACAACAAACCATCTCTTCATCTTCGGCAAATTATGAAAATGCAAATTTGCAACAACAAAATGTTTCCGATGATTCCAATGCCAATGCGCGTAATGATTATTTCCCAGCCAATGGCAATAATGAGGACAACAATCAGGATAATGAAAATGAAAAACCCGAAGAAGATACCAACTGGCGTCAGAATAACATAAATAATTCTCAAGCACAACCAGCAGCAGCAGTGCCATCAGCACCATCTACAGCAACCGGGGTCAATACGAATTCGGTGGCTAAAAACTGTTCCAAGAAACGGAAAAATCTACGCAAGCAACCAATAGGCAATAACAATACTGTTTCGGCACCCATAGCCACAAAGGAAGAGGAACAAAATGAAAATTTAAGAGGAGCCTGTAGCTTGGCTGCCCAACAGCATCACAAACAGCAGCAGCAACAAGTAAATAAAGATAAGGTAAATGAAGCAATACTTCCCATTCATTGTTTGGCATAAATATCCTTTAAATTCTGCATTATTTCTTATAGCAAAATGCCGTTGAAAATGCCAACAGCATGGGAAACAATACCGCGACAACAACTGCTACGGCAAATCCTCCCTCACAGACCACCAATAATGAGGGTGATCTTATAAAATACATTATCTCCCGGATACGCAATCAAACTCATCCCAACACCCTGATCAATGATACGCTCTTGGTGGAGGTGGCCAAACTGACAGCTTCAGTTGCTCAAAATGCTCACAATACCACATGCCAGAACAACAATACCAATGGCAATATCATATCACCGAAAAAAATATATACAAAAATCAAAAAGCTAACCATACCCAAGGAAAGAGATGAATTTCTGCAATGGTATCAACATTATTTGGAAAACACTTTATTTGGCACTCAGACCACCACCAATGACATAAAAGTCAAGGCGGTAAATAGTGCAAAAACCACAAACAATCATTCCATGGCCATACAACAAAATGGCACAACACCACACCATTCCTCAGAAGTGGCTGCAAATGCCACAACACAACAGGATGATGGTGATCTGGCCGAGGCTGATCAGAATTGTTCTTCGAATACCAGTGCTAATTATCATAAAGATGACGATGAAGCGGAGGTGAGCAATTGTGAGATCCCAGGAAAAATGTTGACATCTAGCGATGAAAATAATTTAGAAGGTGCTTGTGCTTTGGTTACATCATCTACTAACCCTAATCAGCTGGAGGATTTACAAGCTCAGGCAATGGATGTCATTGAGAAAAAGGATATAAAACTTGAAAAACAAGATTGCAATGAAAAAGATTAAACCCCTTAAAAAAAATTGGCTATAAGCCTAAGTTAATATTGAAACCCCTTGACGTTAATATTATAAGCAATTTGACATTTATGCAAATTTTCATTCAAAACATTTTGATACAATATTTTACCTTTTGTTGGGTTTACATATAAACATGTCCTACTGCCCCAAGGGAAGCACATCAAGAGAATTTTGTGAAAAACAAACTGAGTAAAAAGGGAAATGACCCCCTACTTTAATTTTTTCATAAAACTTTCTGCGCGAAAATTCCCCAAATATGCTGCTATACACACACACATACATATATGAATGTATATTTTCCTTTAGTATTTAAGTTTGTCCACATTTCCTTTCCTATACATGTTTTTATTTATTGATTTATTTCTAAAGAAAACTATTGGCAACTGCTACATTCCTTTTAACACATAATCTGATTTCCCACCAAAAAAAAGACCTCCTATCCCTTCTATATGGTATGAACAAGAAAATCTCTTTTCAGCAATAAAAACAAACCGCTAATATAAAATTTATTGTTTGGACTATAACTGGGCTGGATAATACATTTGATAACAAAAATATTTATTATGCAGGTTAGAAAATCTTCCGGATGCCATTCTAAGACAGTTTCAATAAAAATAAAACATTACTGAGTTTTTCGATAGATGACCAAGAGATCTTCTATGGGGTTTTTTGGAATATAATTTAGAATATATTATAGATTTATTTAAAAGATAAAAGATCTTGCAGATATTTTCTGCCGAAAAAGTGGTGAACTGCCGAATTTGGGTTTCTCCGATGAGAAAACATTCGTTGTATAGCAGTTTGTAAACAAACAAAATGATCGTGTTTACTTATCAAAGAGGTCAGCTGAAAGTGTGCACCTTCGGGTGGCCACCAGAACTCAAGCGCCAGCCATGGTGATGATGTGGCCGACGATGGTCGCTCTACGCTCGTATTAATCGAACGTAGCATCAGAATAAATGCCGAATATTATCGCAAAAATATTCTGGAGAGTACATTAAAGCCTTGGACACGCAAACATTTTGGCCGCAGAAATTGGACATTCCAACAGAACTCAGCACCATCGCATTCTGCACGCGCTACCCAAGAATGGTTACAAAATGAGGTTCCTCGCTTCATTTCCAGTGCACCATGGCCACCAAAATCTCCGGATACCAATCCGTTGAACTATTGTGTCTGGAGTATTTTGGACAGCAAGGTTGGCACTAAAAAATACGAAAGTATCGATCACCTCAAGCGAGCGCTTCGCCGGGAATGGGCCAAAATAATGCAGAGCAACATTCGGGCAGCGTGTGACGGCTTCATTAGGGCATAATTGGTGCCAAGCTGACCAATTCGAACAAATCCAAACTTATTCTAAAGTTTGATGCTATTTCCGACATTTTTTTTTTTTTCATTCAATACAATTAAAAAAAATTTTAAAATTATGGAATTTGATTTTGTTGTAGTTTTGTTTTTTATCTCACCCTGTATATATATTCCATCTTTTTTTATGTTGTCGGATGATCTTTCCTTCCACATGTTTTTAGGAAAAAAATTATTGATTTTTAAATTAAAGCCGGATTATCTACCAGATGTTTATTGGGAACAAAAATTGATTGCTTTTTGAATTAAAGTTCTACACATTGTTTTAGCGCGTTAGCTTTTTGCCAATTCCTCCAACATTCTATAGTAACAATAACGACTATCATATTCCATGTCATACCAAAAATTCACCGCAATACACTTATGACTCTGACGGACATGATGGTACCAATAGTTGGGTAGAAACAAAACATCTCCTGCATTGAGGCGTACGTGCAGCGGTTTTATTTTAGAATATTGTGGATATTTTGCCAAGTCAGGAGCCAAGGGATCAATGCTAATCCACTCAGTTAAGAGAGGTTCGGGACCAATGCTTTCCACTTCACCCTCATCATTGTAATGTTCTTCAAGCACAGGTTCAATATAATATTGGTTATTTTCGTTGCGTTTGTATACACCAGTGGGATACAAGGTCTTGGGTATCCAAGGAAGGCAATGTGGTGGAAATAATATGAAATCTTTGTGGCCAGAAATAACACAATATATATTATCATATGGATCTTTGTGCATTGATGTTATGGCCTTTTCATCGCCCATCCAAAAATTCACAGCATCGGGTGGTTTGTTGAAACACTTCTCGGCAAACTCAAAAATCTCTGTATCAATGTCATCCTTAAGTTCAGGAAAATCTGTAGTAAAATTCGAGTTTTGTTTTTGTATATAATACACAGCACCGGTGGGATCATCCAGCCTCTCTAGAAATGATTCCATTGTTATTTTTTCCTCATATGGCAAAACAAAATACTCCTTTTTGTCCACATGCCGCACTGCCAAGCCATCAGCATAACCATTGGGTGTAACAGCCACATCAACTAGTTTAGAGCCCATTTGTTGTTTGAAGTATTCCGGATTCCATTTGTGTAAAGCCTTCCACGATGAGAGCACATTTCTAAATATCACTGGCTTTTGTTTGGCATAGTACTCACGACAGAATTCCAATGTGTCGGGCAGAGCATTGAGTTCACTGATCTCAGTTCCAATACAAAAATCTTGTGCTTCATTCAGAAGTAAATCAAAGGCGGATTTTATTCTCTCGTTCATTTTCTCCTTGGAATCTTGTTTTTGAAAATTAAAAAGGTTAATAGAAACATTAGGACTGTTCCTTCCCTTTTCAAACTAATTAAATAATATGTTTTCCTATTCCTAACAAACAGTGCAAAATGATTTGATGGAGCGCTTTTCATTACAGTAGCACTGGTTTAAAGTCGGCAAACGTTAACTACTAATTTCCCGGGTAAGTACGGCGAAGGACAACCAGTAGCAGATGTAAAACTTAAAAACACCATAATAGTCAATCTTGGTATGTGAACAAATCTTATAACAGAAAACATCTGTTGCACATTTCTTTTACTAAAAAGTCGTCCCTATTGCTCACTATTTCCGTTTGTATGGCATCACTGCGGAAAAACATATGTTACACACAGAGCCGTAAGTCGACTTTGATACCCCTACTTTGGTCAAAAAAAAAGTGAATCTTTCAAAGGGGAACATTAACATTTTAGGGAAAAAATTCAACATATTGCTTTCATTGAATGGAAATTTTTACATAGTGTAGGTGCAAAATCAACTCAAAACTAGTTTAAGATTATGGATACCAAAGTAGAAGAATCTATCTCTGTCACAACGACCAATGCCAACAACATCCCCTCCAACGAATCTGATAACGGTGAGGAAATCATCAACTGGGAGGAGGAAGCAACAGCAATTATTAATGATGTCAAAACCCATGTAGCCGAAATTGAGATCTCGAAACTACCCAGCAATGAAAGTCACATATACATGAATATTCGCACATTCGAGGGGGCCACATACTGTATCCACGTTAGTAGTATGGGCTTTCGAGTTGTTTCGGAAATTTACAATACCATAGACGAGGACAAAACCGAGGTCAACGAAGATGAGGTGTATGAAACACCATATGCTCTGCTGGATAAGATAAGTCCACGGTATGTTGAGTCCTTTGGTAATCAGTTGTGTAAACAACTGTTGGCTTTGCAGCAAATGCAGACGGAATTCAAGGAAGAAGACGAAGAAGGCCTGGAAGAGGAGGATGATGATGATTGAATCAACGAATAAGCTTAGGAGAATACAGACTAACATTTAGATTTGTAAGTTAACATTTCACAAGAGGAAGACTAACCCACCCCCATTCCCCCTTGGCTGACTTGAAAAATAACAAAATTTGCCACTAGAACAATTTCCCATAGGTATATCTCTTAACAATTTGTACGAAAAAAAAAACATGTATTCTTTGTTTTGTTTGGGGTATAATTTTATATTAGCAGCTTGTGGAGTATGTATCTACGCTCGAACGCATTTTGTATCAATTAGCATAATAATAATAGTATATGTGATTATTGTTTTTTAAAACATTATTAATTCCATGCAATTAAATATGAAAGATCTTTTTGTTCCAAATATATATATGTACCATGTAATTTTTGTTTAGACTTTTAAACGTTTCAAAAATAAAGATTGTGATTGTAATTCCAAATCAGTGAGTTTTTTAACAATTGGTATTAGTTGCTGAACATGATCCTTGTAGCCAGTTCCAGTGCTCAGATTCTTTTGACCATACACCACCTTGCCGTCAAAATCGTTAAGGGGTACCGACATATTTTTGTCCACTTGTTGAATGGTAATGTTCAAATGGTCCTCAATTTCAGCCAAAAGCTAACAATTCAAAAAGTTATATTATTAGAGATTACAATCGTGTAAATCAGATTAAACTTACATTCTTTTCATTATACCATATGCAACAGCCACGATTGTCTGTGAGATTCGTATTAGAACAATTACGACCCCGAGTTGGACACCAGTCACCGTGGTACCAAACCTGGAAAATGAGAACAATATATTATAAATCAAATAAATATATTGTGGTGAAAACACAAACCTTTTCGGGTACGGTAGACACCAAACTGATAGCCAAACCCATACGCTCTGCACGGCCAACACGACCAATACGATGTACATAGTTTGACTTTTCATCGGGCAAGGTAATATTAATCATATACGGTAGACCAGTAATATCCAAACCTCTTGCAGCAACATCAGTACAAATAAGAAATTTAACATCTCCCCTCTTGAAGGCTTCCAAATTTTGCTTGCGCTCATTCGGTTTACGATCACCATGCAAACAGACGCAGGAATACCGTTGTCCCCCACGAGCTTTAAGATATTTTTCCAAATTGTCACAATCCAACTTGGTGCGACAAAATAGAATAGCTCGATCCATTTTATGTTCTTCAATGGCACGTATACAATATTCGCCCTTCAACATTTTAATGGCCTCTGAATAAGTTTCGGGTGTTAAATTGTGGGGATGAGGATTATCCCGGGCATGAACCCCATCAGTGCGAATGTGTTGACGTAAATTATGCCATGTTGTGTCACGTTGTGGATCTATCATACACACCACATGATGTACCGTTTCGGGTACAGCATCTTCTCCCTTGAGATCGACCCATGTGGGGAAATGCATAAGACGATCAGCCATTTTCTTTACCTCAAAGGCATGAAGAGTTGCGGAACACACAACCATTTGAAGGCGTCTGCCATCCGAGGTCATTTTTGGTATTTGTTTATGCAGACGGTCAATGAGATCTGTGTAGCCCTGTTTAAGCAAAGCATCAGCTTCATCCAAAACGAAAAACCTTAAAAAAGCAAAGTTTAAGCATTATTTCGATTATCCCCTTAAATATCTCCTTACTTGCAATGTGTGAGCTGCACAAAGCCTCCACTTATCATTTCCTCCAGACGGCCAGGTGTGCCAACAACAATATGAACGCCCTGCTGCAAAACACTTTTTTGTTGTTCCAGTTTAACACCACCAATCAATAGTAGACTACGAACATCCGGATTTGCCAAATGTACCTTAAATTTTTCAATCTGATTGTAAGTCTGTTCGGCCAATTCTCGACTTGGCTCAATGATAATGGCCTGAGGTGCATTTGGTGATGGTTTGTTCGCTCCTGCATTGGCAGCAGGACTAGCCAAAGGGTTTGGCTTAGTGTGGGATGGACCGGCTTGACAAGCTGCTATAAATCCATTCTTAGGAGGATATTTGAAATCTGTTTTGCCGAAATTGAAAGCCATTTCTGCATTTTTTAAGACCACAGCAGGATAAAAGGTCTCATTGCGCAGATTGTCGTTAATGCGGAAAGCTACGCCCAAATTACTGCCATTTTTGCTAAATGACACCTCCATTTTTTCCAAATCCAAATAACAGCCAATGACATCATTTTTACCAAAAGCCTCCCCATAGTCGTCAAACTGGCGATTGTTTGATTTTTTACCAGTTCCACCAAAACCAAAACCTATAAAAGTTACCATTATATATCACAAGGTCTCTACAAAGAACACATTTCCAATAATTACCAAAACGACATGTTCCCAAATCCAAATTTGCCTGTTGGGTAGACCAGCCCACACGGCATAGACCTTCATCGGTAACAGTTGCCTCATAATAAAACTTTCCTTTGCCCTTGACACCGGTTGTAGAACGGCAACCATGCCATTCCTTGAACTCACGACTCTGGCAACGCAGACCGTCAGGTGTAACAGCCAAGGCATTGCCACGATCAAAGAAGGACATGGTCCATGGGGCAGCACTGGCTGTTGCGGAACCTCCTTTTGCCCCCTTACCCTCTTCGAGGTCCCTTAACGTTTCCCAAACAATTTGTAAAATGGGCAAACAAAATGCACCGGTTTTACCTGAACCAGTCTCGGCAGCCATTAGCACATCACCACCTCCCAAAATAAGAGGAATAGCTTCAGCCTGGACATCAGTTGGTAATCTAAAAAATCCATTCAATCATAAAACACCCATGCTTCATGTATAAACGATGGATACTCACGTCCATTCCATTTCATCAATGGCCTTGGCAATTTCAGGCAAGACGCCGAACTCTGAAAGAAAATTAATGTTACATCCACTCAGTATTAAACACATTATCATTTCTTACCTTCAAATGCAGTCATTTTGAATTAGATTCAATGAAAACCAAATAAATCCTTTGCGTTTTGCGAAAAATATCCAGAACTGTCTGCAAAAAAGCCGGCGTTAGAGGTGGCAAACAATTAACGTAAATATCGATAATGTTTCTTAAAAGGGAAGACCGATTGATAGTTTTTTCTATCGATATTATTGGACACAATTGCTCTGTTCCCGTATCAGCAAGAATCTACTATTTTTACAATTTTCTTCGATATCATAAAGGGAAAATTGGTTATCGTAGTAAAAACTTTTACATTTTTGTAGTTCTGGAACGGACCATATGTACAGCCATTTGGCAAAATCAGTAAAGTCTCTATCAGACGAAATGTTTTTATATAAGTATTGTAAAATTTTGCATAATTAGAGATTACACATATCGTGGGGTACATGGACTATTCTAGTTTTGAAATACACAAGTAAAGAAAATATAACATCGGAAAAATATAATTTAATCAAAACAAGTTGTGTAAAAAGATATAAAATGAACTTTTCGGTAAAAAATCATCCATAACTACAATTTACAGAGCTCGGTGAGTTCTTAGTTGGCAAATATCAAAAAGCTGAAAAAGCTCTCAATAATGTATTTAAGAGGCAGCTTTAGTCTTCCTCCTTTTATTGTACAAGGGCTGTACCATAGTAGAAGAATCCAGATAGATGCATCAATGCTTAGGAGCATTGATATTCAAAAATATCAATTCCAAAATTGGTTTGACAGTTCATTGTCCCAGCAGCTGTGTCGATGCGACTACCTCTATTCTTTTACCATGGGCTGTACTCATGGTAAAATCAAATTTACTTACAACTAATGCAACAAGTAGTTTACTCTATTTGACACATTCTCTGCATTTTCTGTAATTTACCTCGTCACATTTCACTGCATAGAAAGCTTGCTCCCATCTTTGGTTTGTGTATATACAATTATGAATAAACATTTTGACAATGAGGTGCGCATTTTTAAACAATTTTTACACATTAATTTTTTTTTTTTCAAAATTCTCAATTTCAAAAGTTGTGCAGGTGCGACTACCTGTGTTCTTCTACAGTGAATTAAGAATAGAATTACTTTTTCATCATGATTAGCACTGAAAATGGTTAACATTTTATCTTGATTAGCAGAAACCCCATTGCGACCGTTTCGCCATTGCGAAACAACAGCAGTATTTATGGATTGCTACGTCTAATTGTCATTCTTGGAACTATGAGGTTCCAATTACACTAGACTTTACTGTAATACAAAAGAGACTAGTGGAAAAAATTCCCCAAAGTACTAATAGTTGATTGACGACTGATGAAAAAGAGCAATCACACTAGCAAGCAAATGATTTTAGTATGTACCCCACCTTAGACTTATTTTCACATTTATACAACCCTAAGCTTTATTCTTTTCGATCTTGAAAACCCCGCTGTTGGTCGAAGTTTTTGTTTTAGTTTTATTTTTATCACTCATCCCTGCTGTGTTTCTCATCTTGCCGGCGGCGACTTTTTATAAGAGCTTTGACATTATATTTAATCATGTGACACACGACGACAATGACAACTAGCCTGTGATCGCTGTCATTTTGGGTTGTTTGTTCAGTTCTTGTCGATTGGTTTGTAGTTTTTAATTTTTCTTCGATTTTTTTGTGTTGCTTGCAAAATTAAAAGTTAAAAAAACAACAAAATGGTCGAAGCCTACGTAGCACCCACCGTTATTACTTGCATTTGGGCTTTTATTGGCATAATTTGCCCCTTCTTTGCCAGAGGACCAAACAAAGGGTGAGTCAAGTGTGAAAAGTTATGGAGTTGATAAAACTGCAATTAATTGGGAATTTTATCTTATTTATTTTTTTTCTTAACCGTTTCCATCTACAGCATTACCCAATGTTGCCTTATGTTGACCGCTGCCACTTGTTGGCTTTTGTAAGTTGCCATTTTTTGTTCCAAATCAGTTTCTTATGTGTAACTATTTTGTTATCTTTTGCTTTTTATTATAGCTGGCTCTGCTGTTATATGACTCAAATGAACCCCTTGATTGGCCCCAAACTATCTATGAATGAAATCCTGATTGTTGCCAAGGAATGGGGCAATCCCATTGAAGACACAATCGACATTACTTATTACTAGAAGCAATTCTAAACGGGATTTTCTATTCCATCTCACTGGATAGTCGTTTAAGTAATATATTATTGTTTATGTTGGTTGTTTTGTTTGTGAAAATTTAACCCCGTCCCCAAGCAAAAGGGCTCACGGTTCCATCAGTATCTTGTTTTTTTTTTTCATTGTATTCCATTTAAAAACGTATTAATTCAGGTGACACTCTCTCTGATCAGCAGGTGCCTTAAAAGTTTAAGACAAAAACAAAACATGTGACCTTCAAGAAAAAAAAGCAACAGCACAAATTTACACATTTTATGTATTATATCTGCTTACATGTTATTGTTTGTTTTTCTTTTTGCGAATATCTTTCAAGTGTTGTGTTCTTGTTGAAAGTAATTAATTTTCGCTGTGAAACAAGCAAAAATTATATACATTAATAATTCCTATATACATGTTTTGTTATTATAATTATAAAAATAAATCGAAGAAAATTAAAATCAGTTACGAATTGTTTTTATTTTTTACATATTGTAATAAACTTGAGATGGGTGCCAAGTTTGTTATGGAAATCATTTCCAGAAGTTTAGAAAATATCTTTAATTTGCCGAATAATTTTATGGATATTGTGATTCAACATGGAAAATATATTTTTATGCCATAGAAGTATATCGAGTTTCAAAAATCTAATCTGTTTCATCCCATACCTGTTTTTGTTATTTATTTAATATCCAACAAAAAAGTAAGAAATTGGCTATTTTCAAAAAAAAAAAAAATAATAAAATAAAATCCGTTAAAAATTCTGTTAAAATCTTAAAAATACCGAATGTAGCCGTAATATAGGGGTATATACGACTACAAGGACTTGCATCATTAAAATCATCAAAATGCCGAATATAGGTAGGTACTATTATATTGGGGCTATACCAAAACGTGGACCCGAACAGACAATTTTCTGTCAGAGACTGTAGTATCCATTATGAACTTCAAATACCAAACTTGAAGCAATTCCGGTAAATCATGTCGTTAAAATCATCAAAATACCAAATATCGGTAGGTACCGTTATATGGGGGCTATACGAAGACGTGGACCTGCATAAACAATTTTCTGTCTTAGGCTGTAGAATCCATTAAGAACTTCAAATACCAAATTTGAAGCAATTCCGGTGAATAATGTCGCTAAAATCAATAAAATACCAAATATCGGAAGGTACCGTTATATGGGGGCTCTACTAAAACCTGGACCTACATGGCCCATTGTCAATACCAAAAGTCCTGCAGGCATAATATACATTTGAGTAAAATTTTATCAATCTACTTCATTTCGTTCGGAAGCTAGTGATTTCCACAGACTTTAGACGGACGGACATAGTTAAATCGACTTAGAATTTTATGCTGATTATGATTTATGGGGTCTACGACGAATATTTAGGGATGTTACAAACGGAATGACAAAGTTAATATACCCTCCTTTCCAAGGTGGAGGGTATAAAAATTCAAGATTGATCTCTTCAGGTATCAGCGCCATCTATATTTTAAATTCTTATACACTGGCCGGTTTATGTCCAAGCTATATTATACAAAATTCACATCGAGATGGAACAAAATTAAGGTCGCCTAAAAATTTGAATGAAAAAAGTGAATCGTGCAGGAATTTCAAAAATCTTTGGACCCTGCCTGGAATTAAATGCATTGCACAGATTTTGTATTGCTACGTTAAGAAATGTGATACTCCTCAGCCATTCCTATCTATTTAGTAATTTCTTAAAATCCCTCAAAATCAAATAGCTACGTGCTTTGAGACACCAGACGTGATTAATGAAAACTATGCTATAGTTTTCAGTGTCTCCAGATTTTTAAATTTCCCCTTAAAATCCCAGTAAACAAAAGTAGTATTTAGATTACGACTTTTTTTATTTAGAATATTTGAAGATTTCCAAGCATAACTACGGGTATACAACAACTTGCCATTGGGCATGTCAAACCGCGACAATAATTTGTTGTAACACCCGTGGCTTTAGCAAACAAATCACAGTTATGGTGTTTTTACAGATCATGTCGCAAAACATCAACTAGGCCATATTCGGGGGGTGTTAGTTATATGGCCATAAAGCGTAATCTCTTCAACGTATATACCCAGGAGAATGGGTAAAATTGTTGTTTTATTTGAAAAGTGCAATCGAACTGCTTAATCGAAAAGACCCAAGCCCATATCGTCATCATCCTCTTCTTCGGATTCTTCCTTTTTGGCTTCTTCCTTCTTTTCGGCAACTGGGGCAGCAGCAGCAGCTGGAGCGGCGGCAGCAGCGAATTTGCTGGGATCCTTGATGTATTCCTTGATGGTGGTGGCTTCCTTGAACTCCACTTCGGTGGTGGCGGCAATAGCCAACAAGTTCTTGAAACCGTTGGCAATGCTGTGAGGAGCAGAAGCAATGGTGGGGTATCCAATTTCCAAACAGACAGCGGCCAAGTTGGCAACACCAGCTTGGAATTTGGCACGCAAATCCTCGGGCTTGATGTCCAAGATTTCGGGGGAGAAGATGGAACCGGAATCGTAGACTTGGTTGATGATCAAACCGTATGAGAAGGGAGAGATGTTCAACATGTTAAGCAAGGTAGCTTCGGAAGCACCGACCTTGTCACCAGGCTTCAAGATGGGCACATCGTTGATGATTTCAATTGTACCCTTGGAAATCTTGGTGGGGATAGACAAGGCTTGGAAGAAAGAAGTCTTTTCGGGACCCAAACCGGTGTTCTGGGCTGGGATAATGACGGGCAATGGAGCAATGGCACCGGCACGAGCTGGGGCACGGACCTTGGATTCCAACAACTTGTCACGGACTTCAGCCAAATCACCCTTGGTGAAGACGAAACCAACATTGCCCTTGATGTGGGGCAACAATTTTTCCAATTGGGCGTTTTGCTCCAAATGACCACGGATGGCCTTGCGCATCATGGTGTTCTTGCCCATAAGAACAACACCAATACCACGGAGACTGGTACGGATGTGTTGCATTTGACGGGAACCGACATTGTCAGCACCTACAATGAAGCACTTGGGGTATTCGTTGAAGAGTTCCTGGAAGGGATAAAAAAAACAAAGCAATTAGTAACCCACTCCTTCTAGGTGATTATCAAAATATAAAATTTCCGAAAACAATCAGACGCGCTCTAAGAGCATTTTCTCAACTTCTAGTCTACCAGAATACCTGGGTTCTGCTTTTTCAAGCTGGGCATTCAGACGATAGACATTCAGACGTAATTTTGTTACATCATTTATGTTAGATTCAAATTTCAAAATAAAATCAAAAGGACTTGGATACTTACGACAACTTTAATGAAGTATTGAGCCTTCCAGGCAGCTTTGTTCTCCCTAACCATCTTGAATCAAGTGTGTAATTAGGGACTCGAGAAAATGAATTTAAGAACTGCAAATACAGAAGAGATATCATCATTAATTAAATGTTCTACAATGTTGTTATTAAATGGATATTGTATTTCACTACAATAACAATGGATGTTTGTTATTTTTAAAGATTTTAAATTTTTATCACAAAAATGTGCACCACCTACCAAAGCAAAACGATGTGTTCACGTTGACGTCGACGACGAAAAGAAGGGAGAGATGTCAAATGTCGTCGTCATCCATTGACGTTTGTTTGTGCTACCAACTGCAACCAACTTCAGTGTGTTTAGATGGGCGATCCTAAATGAATGTGGTTATGCGCCGAGGGTGACGTGCTTGCCAGTAAAGAATATAACTCGTTGGGATATTTTAGATGAAATTAATATTAAATTAAATAAATGTCGTTTGAAAAGAAAAACTATATATTCATATTACATATATATCTTATTTGCTCTAGCCGTTAGTCAGCAATTATCTTATGGAAGTTTCATAACATTTTTTGATAAAAAAGTAAACCTTAAACCACAACATTGATTTCCAAAATTATAGTTGCGTCCCCGCATTTTTTCAGTGGTAAAAGTAGCAAAGTGCAAACTGTCAAAAACTGTTGTTACCTATAGCCATATTTTATGTAAAAAGTACTTGAACGGAATTGTACAAAAACTTAGCAAAATCGTCACAGTCATATCAACAATTGCTCTGTTCCAGAATCTGCAGAATCTACTAGTTTTAAAATTTTTTGTTCCGATATCATATAGAAAAAATCGTAGTAAAAAGTTTTACATTCTTGCAGCTCTGGAACAGAGCAAATAATAACTCTACCATAAAGCTGATGTAAATAAAATAGCAAAGTTGAAAGTTATATGTGTTTTTGACGAATTTCAAGAAGAAAATTGCAGAATACTTTTGTGTTTTTCCCAATATAGAAAATATGTAAGGTAAAAAAGACTTTACTACAAAGTTTTATTTATCCTATTTCCCTCTAAGTTAAACTACCCAGTATACCAAAATAGCAATTTAAAAGATTGTTACGTCGTCATATAGCATTACCCCGTACTTCAATTGTGAAGAGCCATTATTATATGTAAAAGCTGAAAACTATGGAACGTGCTTTGTTTACGTTTTAACTGTCAGCTGTCATTGGTATAATGATAATGCAAATAATTATTCGTTCGTGGAAGTGACAAGCAAAAATATTAACAAATATCGAAAAAAGCCGAAAAAATGGTTTTGGAGAGTACTATGATCTGGTAAATATTGGATAAAAATATCTGAAGAAGAAGGACTAAGGAAGGAACTGTGAAATTACTTAGGATACGTGAAAGGGCAGCCAATTTTAGGCAATACATTTCTTCTGTCATTTTCTGTCCGTCTGCATGAATATGCTTACTTTGATTTGCAAATACACAAAAAATGCATTTCTAATTTGTATGTGAATTTTCTTACAGTTTTGATAACAGTGATTACCAACGTAATGGTGATTACTTTCCCACACGCCTTAATGTCCAAAAAGATGGCATAAACCTTGTCTGCCTCACAAAAGTACGTTCCAATCCTGAAAACAATGTTGGCCTTATGACCATCTCCAAGTAAGTATATTTTATTTGGGAGCCGAACATTTCTACATTTTCTAAACATCTTCTGTTTGCAGTACCGTGGAAGTATTAGCCACACTAACCAGTGATGTTGGACGTATTTTCTCCAAAATGCATTTGGTTCAGCCAAAGGGTGAAATTAATTTATTGACCGGCATACGTATTGCTCATGTTAGTATAACAATTTTTTGTTGCATACATTTTCTAATTCTGCTGTTAATTCATTTCAGCTGGTATTAAAACATCGCCAGGGAAAGAATCACAAAATGCGCATTGTTGTTTTTGTTGGATCACCCATTAAAAGTGAAGAGGGCGACTTGGTAAAGTTGGCCAAGCGTTTGAAAAAAGAAAAGGTCAATGTAGATATTGTCAGTTTTGGTGATCATGAAAGCAACAATGAAATTTTGCAAGCATTTATAAATACCCTAAATGGTAAAGATGGCACCAGTTCCCATTTGGTCTGTGTTCCACGTGGTTCAGGCTTGTCGGATGCCTTGCTTTCGTCGCCCATTATCCAGGGTGAAGATGGCATGGGTGGTGCTGGTTTAGGTGGAGCTGGTTTTGAATTTGGCGTAGACCCCAATGAAGATCCCGAATTGGCATTGGCTTTGCGTGTCTCAATGGAAGAACAACGACAGCGTCAAGAGGAGGAGCAACGTCGGGCAGCTGGTGCCAGTACTGAAGAATCGGCTGGTGAGAAGTCGACATCTGGCACTGCAACGGCTGCTACTACAGCTGCTCTTGATGAGCCCAATTCAGAAGAAGCTATGTTGCAGCGTGCGTTGGCTATGTCCACTGAACAGGTATGGCTTGAACACAACTTTCATTACTTTTGGGTTAAATGTTGCTACAGTGCCATTCACAATTTATGATATAATTATGCTCAAAAAATTATAAACGAATAATTTTTATTTTCTTGTAGAGTGATGATAATTTACCAGATTTTGCCAATATGACCGAGGAAGAACAGATTGCTTTTGCAATGCAAATGTCTATGCAGGATGCAGGTAAATAAACTGATGTCGAAATTTAATATTTCTTACTAAATCGAATTGCCATTTTCCAGCTGATGACACCGTTACCCAACAGGCCAAACGCCCCAAAACCGAAGAAAACGCACCCATGGAAGTTGATGAAGATTATTCAGAAGTTATTGGTGATCCAGCTTTCCTACAAAGTGTTTTAGAGAATCTACCCGGTGTAGATCCCCAATCGGAAGCTGTACGTGATGCTGTCGGCTCTTTAAGCAAGGACAAAGATAAGGATAAGAAGAACGATGGCAACTCAGACAAACAGTAAATTAAGTAATGCCAAGGGAAATTAGCACCTTTGCATATAATGAATCATTTATTATTAATCAATTGAAAATTCATTTACTAAATATTTTATATGAAAAAAAGCCAAGTTGTGGTCATGAAATTCACGAGAGTTATTTTGCAAAAGAATTTGCCACGGAATACTAAATAAAAATATGCTTTAAAATAATCGGAGTTGATGTTTTATTTGAAAAACTATTAAACGAATTAGCCCAGTTCTTAATATTCACTTGCGGTAAACCATCCACACTATTACAAACGTTTCCTCCTTTGAGAATGCTATCTGACTTTGAAATCGAACTGAATATCAGATAACCTATATTGAAAATTTCCTAAAAACAACTTGCGCTACATTCAAACAAGAGGAAAGCACGGAAGCTACCGCAAAGGCTTAATGCAAATATGGGTCATATTAAGTCAATTACATTTTTACTGTTTTCACATGACCAATTTCAAGAATATTCTGCAATACAAAACATCTACAGCAATAAAAACACTACACAATTCGTGCACTTCCTTTTGATTGGAAAATACTTGTTTTTATTTTAAGTTACCAATCAAAATTTTCACTCCAACTTTACTATCTTATAACACATATTTTCTTTTAACTAAATAATAAAGCTCTGTTGGCTGTCTCCCGTTGGGTATGGATGACGGCAATTTACTTCAATCCACGGTATTCACGGATGTGATACAAAACCCAGGCAGGAATGATCAAGGTCGACACAAACATGCCACCGCCCAGGACAAGTTTCTCCTGAAATAAAAAATAGAGGCCGTTTTTATTTTCATCATCCTTTAGCAAAATCGAAGCAAGAGGTATGTTTACGTAACCTCTAACTTGACAAATGAAAATTTTTGTTGAAGAAAAAAATTGTGACTTACAGCGGAGGAAACTTTTTGGGTTGGTGGGGATGAAATCACCGATTGGCAACGACGTTGCATGGCATTACGGATGGCAGGAGCCAAGAGGACAGCAGCAGATTTTTGGAACATTTTGGAGGAGTTGCACAGAATTTCTTGGTAAACTAACCGACAAATTAATTCGCTATACCACGATTCCCACGAGTGTGAAGTCGCGACGATGTTTTTTAACGGCGTTATCGTGTGATGATATAACTGTTTCGATTTTTTAATCGACTGCGTTTGTTATCGATTTAGTGAAATCGTAAATACTAGGCGAGATACACACTATAGAACAAACCATAAAGAACGTAATATTAATACTTCTTTAATAGAATATTATTAAAGTATCAGCCATGGTACATAAAGAAGGGCAAACTCTTTTTAATTTACCTTCTCTAATTTAACTGCATAGAAATAAGGTTCCCTTCTCTAATTATGTGTATATACAATGGAATGTAATTTTTTTTTATTACGATAACCAATTTTTTATGACATCGAAAAAAATACAAATGACCTGTTCCAGTACTGCAAGAATTTAAAGATGTTGACTACAATAACCGATTTTCCCTTAATGATGTCGAGAATAATGGTACAATAAGTAGGTAGAACAGCTTCGCAGCCCTGACTATGCCTGCTTCCTGTCAGACTCGTTCAAAATTATATACAACAAGTTGTTTTCATTATTTTCACATTTTCCCACATTTTAAAAATGAGATAAATAGCGCGAAAAATTAACGAAAGCCTAGGGTTTCTCTTAAAACTTTAAGACTCTTGCAGGTTCTGGAACAAAGCATTTGCCTTCTGTGTTCTACCAAGGTATCAGCCGATCGTATGCTGGAAATCATGATACTATTTTTTTTTACAAATTTGTCAGGGGCTGTGTCTTTTAAATATGCGGTCATATTTCATCAGCTTTTGGTCTGTTCCAGATCTGCAAGAATGTGAACGTTTTTACAACGATAGGCAAAATTCCCTATATGGTATATTCTTGCAGGTTCTGGAACAGAGCATTGGTTGGTAAATTTAAAGCAAAATGTAGTTATTTAAAAGATATAAACGTTTGCATTGCTTCATGACTGCAAGAATTTAAAATAGCTACGATAAAATCGTAGTAACAATATTAAATTTCATGTCTGTGCAATGTAGAGAATTTCGTCCCCATATTTCCTTAATAATATTTTTATTTGGCATTTTTAGCTCTGTTTTTTTGTATTTACCTTGGCAAATTTAACTTCAGTGAAAACTAGTTCCCATTTTTGATATGATTTAGATTTATAAATTAATATTTTTACAATGAGATGCTGTCAAATATGTAATGTTAAGCATTAAAAAACTGTATATTTGTTTTGACATTAGAAGACTACCAAAAGAAAAAATTGTATTCAGTGATTACTATGCCCTACATTGGCCTTTCATGAATGCAAAACCACACAGTGATAACCCAAACGTAGGCTGGCAACACTGGACTATCATTCCAAATTTGACATATGTAAACATACGTCAGAAGAAGCAGAAACATCGAGGTCGAAAGTCGATTTGTGCACCCCTACTTGTAAGAACGCAATAGATCATCATACTGCCCAAGAAAAAGGTGAGAGAAATATAAAAATTATGGAAAATTGTTAAATATTCTAGTGCCAGTGATTTACCGTAATCAAAATAAATAAAATCTCAATGCTAAGCGAATTATTAGGCTTTTAGTTTAGTTGTTGTTGTTTGGTTTTATGGAAAAGGAAAACTATGAAGAAAAAAATGACGAAATGATGAGCAAAGCAAACGACGGACTGAACTAAACTACCTTCAGTTGTTTGTGCTTGTGTTTGTTTGTAAAAAAAGAAAATAAACAACAAGTAATATAATAATCAATATTTGATATTTGAGACATTCAATTTGGAAAAGAGTTTTTTTTTGGAGAATTTCAAAATTTTGTGTATATTTTGTTTTTTTTTTTCTCGTGAAATTAGCATTGTGGTGTAGCAGCAGCAAGCAGAGCAGCAGCAAGCAGAGCAGCAGCAGCAGATGCACTAAAAACAATTCTGAAGGAGTTTGTTAGTTGCTCTGTCGTTGTCCCTGAAGAAGAAGACATCATATCCGTTTCCTTTGTGTGTTGCGTTTGTACGATTGTTTGTGGTGATAGTAAAGCAAAAGTGAGCAAAGGAGAAGTCGAAGGCGCTGTGCTTTTGAGCCTGCAACAGAGCGAGTTCAAGCAACCAACACACAACAACAACAAGAACAAAAACAAAACAATTGTTCGTGGCGAAAACAAAGAAAGCTAAGGATACCTTTGTTTCTTTAAATCAGTTGTTGGCTTTGAAAAACCACCACCGTTCACAGTAACTATTAGCTTCTATCACCATCATGAGTACGGCCACTTTAAATGGAGCTGCCTCAACAAACCTTCTACAGCAACAGCCATCAACATCAACAGAAGCCTCATCATCTGTAGCCGCCGCAGCAGCCACAGCAGCAGTGAAAACTCGTGGTGCTGAATTCGGAGATGATGTTGCCCCAACGTCCACATCACATTTGCCCACATCTCCCGCCATTTGTCGTTATTTCCAAAAAGGCATCTGTCGATTTGGCTCTGTTTGTCGATTTTCACATGACCTGCCTGGCGGTGAGGTAATCAGCTCAAATACAAATAATTCCTCGGGTTCAACAGCCCCAGCCAGTACGTTGAACAATGAACGTCCCAGCACCAGTCGTCGTAACTGGGCAAATGCCCCTGCTTTTATACCGGCTGCCGATCATGCTGGTGGCGAGGTGTTAGAATCTGTTGTTGATCCCAACCATTCATGGGCTGAAGTTGTTTTTGGTCCAAACGCTCGTGGACGTAGTATGCCGCACATGGCAAGTGGATTTCACGAAATTGCCAGCGTCGACGAAGAGTGTCCCTTTGAGAGTCCATGTCCGTATGGTATGTTTTGTGTCTATGCCATACACATGGAACTGTGTGAAATGTGTGATCAATTCTGTCTTCATCCCAACGATGAGGAACAAAGAAAGAAACATAAAAAGGAATGTCTGCAACAACATGAACAGGCTATGGAGTTATCTTTTGCCGTAGCACGGTCCAAAGATAAAACATGTGGTATTTGCTTTGATACAATTATGGAAAAAGCTGGGCGAGAGAAACGTTTTGGCATATTACCCAATTGTAATCATATCTTTTGTTTAGAATGTATACGTAAATGGCGTCAAGCTAAGCAATTCGAACATAAAATTACCAGGTATGTAAAGGATAATATATTATAATTATAGAATAACAGAAATGTCTTTGGTTTTTAGATCCTGCCCTGAATGTCGTGTGTCCTCAGATTTTGTTTGTCCTAGTGCCTTTTGGGTTGAGACCAAAGAGGAGAAAGATAAACTCTTGGGAGATTATCGAAAAGCTCTTGGTATCAAAGACTGCAAGTACTTTAAAAAGGTTAGTTGTTTTTGTGTGCTGCCTTAGGTTGCTTTGTTTATTAGTTTTATTGGTTACATTGCAGGGTGATGGCAAGTGTCCCTTTGGCAACAAATGTTTCTACAAACATGCTTTGCCCAATGGTGACTTGGTAGATGTTGGCTGTCCCAAAAAGGGTCGTAAAATTCATCGCAGTAATAATGAAATTATAAACTTGCTTGATGTAAGTATTAAAACAAAAATTGATTTATATAATTGTGCACACACACATATATACATAGATAATCACATTAAAGTTATACAAATTCTTTGTGTGCCCTGGAATGAAGACAGGCAAAAAGGTCAATGATATCGCAAGACAACAAAAGAAATGAGCATATAAAGGATTTTTGAAAAGATGTCAGTAAAGGGGTGGAAGCCAGCAATAACAGATGCTGTAATTTCGAAAACAAAACTTGTTTAATGAAACTTGATCAGGGATGGGAAAACAAAAGTTGTCATGTTTTCTTGAAGTCTTAAAAGGATTTGCTATGTCTTAAGAGAAATTTATAGAGGTTTCAATGGCTTTGGACGAAAAAAGTTGTTCTATGTCTTTAGAAGACCTGAAATGTCTTCATGTCTTGAGAAGACCTTAAAGATTGTCCACGTTTTCTATGACCTAAGAGCACATTAAAGCTCTCCTATATACAGGGTGAGATAAAAAAATAACTGCAACGAAGTCAAACGCCATAATTTTTACATTTTTGTTTTTAATCTTATTGAATGAAAGCAAAAATATCGAAAATAGAATCAAATTTTAAAATAAGTTTAGGTTTGTTCGATTTGGACACCTTTGGCACGAATTATGGCCTTCAAATGGCCAATAAAACCGTCACACGCTGCCCGAATGTTGGTCTGCGATATTTTGGCCCATTCCCGGCGAAGCGCTTGCTTGAGGTGATCGACACTTTGGAATTTTTTAGTGCCAACCTAGCTTTTCAAATTACTCCAGACCAAATAGTCCAACGGATTGGTATCCGGAGGTATTTTGGTGGCCATTGTGCGCTGGAAATGAAGCGAGGAACCGTATTTTGTAACCATTCTTGGCTGGCTGAGAGCGATGTGCTTTCGATATGTCCAAGGTCTGGGGCCAAAATGTTTGTATGCCCAATGCTTTAATACATTCTCCAGAATATTTCACAAAAGATTTATTCAAATTTAAATGCAGGAGTGCTCTAACGATAGCCACTTGTGGTTTTCCAGCCAAATATAAAGAAATCACACTATCACGTTTGAATTCCATCACGAATAATTTTTTTTCTGGAAAATTCTCACTAAAATGCTTTTGTACATTTGTAAACAATATAATGAGCTGTCACCGAGTGGCTTTGAAATGACAGCAGTCTGAAGTTGGTTGCAGTTTTTTCATCTCACCCTGTATGTTGTAGAAAATCGTTAAGTTCTTAAATATAAAAGACCATGTGATTAATTTAAAATATTTTAATACCAATATTTGGGAAATTTTTCCAAGATAAATTTAAGCATTGACCTCTTTGCCTGTCATATACGTTATATACAAATATTATATACTTGAAATTAAAAGTTTCGAAAAGTACTTTAAAAGGACCAAGTTATAAACTTGAGCCTTTAAAAGTATTACTTTTTAACTTTTCGAAACTTTTAATGTGATTTAAATATTATGAATTGTATATATTTTTATTTTAATATTTAATTCTTTTATGATTTATTTTGGCAACTCTCGTTTGGATTTTTACAAGAAGACAGCAATTAAAATATGTTTTTTTTTGTTTCATTTTGGTTTGAAAATTATATTTTTTGGTGTATTCTTTCAAAAATGTTTTTCAAATTGTCGTCACACATAAGTGTTTGTTGTGTAATAATGTAGATAAAAAATAAGTTCAAAATCAAGTGAAATTTAACGAATTTAACTTAATTTTGTTTTTTTGTTTTCCCTATTCTTTTTTCTGCTCTTCTCTCAAAATGAAAAATTGAATTGAACCACAATAACAACAACAGGTGTGATATCCTCATGTGTCTGTATTAGATTCTAAACTACTACTCAAATTTCTCCCTCTCTCAACACACAAAAAGAACAAAACAAAAACTTATCGAAAATAAGAAAGGTTTTCAAACGAAACGAAACGAAACAAACAAACCAAGTACCATTGCTTTTATTCGCAAATCGTCATTGCCATCACCAAACAAACAAACAAACCTAAACAAAAACAACCACCACCTCAACACATTCAATACCAAAAGAAATGATGTGTGAATAAATAGCTATTAAGCGTTTTTAAGTGTGTTTATTTCGTTTAAAATATACACCAAACAAATTATGATAGTATTTTTAAGCTGTGACTTTAAAAAACAAAATCGAAAAAGAAAAACAAACAAAAAAAAAAAAAAAAAAAAAAAAAAAAAAAAAAACAACAATAAAAAGTCAGTTATCTACATATGAAAAACGACAAACAAAGAAAAAAATGAAACAAACCAATTGATAATAATTAAAAATACAAGTTGTTTTTAAGTTCAAAGAATATATCTACAAACATAATTGCCTAAAGAAGAACAAAACAAAATCCCCCTATTTATTCCAAATTAATATTGTAACATGTAGATGGTAGAGACATATAACATTTATATTTATATTAATTAATTAAACACGGAATTCAGGCTTTAAAAGCAAAAAACCAAAAGTTAAAGTAAAATCTAAGAACTCCAAACTTATTCACAATTCACAACAAATTTCTAATGTGTTCTATTGAGGAGAAGACGAAGCAACATACTTAAAGCTTTAAATATGAAATTAATATTACATTTTGTTTATTTTATTCATTTTCTTAGTTTAATTTTTAGTCTAATTATTTTATTGCATTTAATTTAAAAACATTGAAATTTCAGTGAGAAAAATGCCATGTAATTCTTGCAGATAATTACATTTTGCAACAAAACTCAATTTTTTTTTTCAATCTAGTAGATTATGAAAATATAGCTAAAAATAGAAGACACATGTATCGGCGTTTTGAAAGTTTACATCGAAAAGTAACCAAAATAGAGGGGACAAGTTCCCCCATTTTTCACATTTTTGGAAATATTCGGATTAAGATTCCTTGGAATCCGTGCATTTTAGGTATATAGTGTCTTCGGCAATATTGCAGATAAGAACACGAAGATTATTTTAGCGGACATTTTTTAAACCCTAAATCGACTCAATAAAGGGGTCTTTTTGGTCCTTTTTTTTCGAAATTTGCTTAAAAACTCCCTTGAAACGGGAACGTAACAAGTCAAAATATTCTACAAAATTGTTTGTCATAAAATTTTGCTATAGGTCCTCGAAGACGTCAGGATTCTAAATCTTACCCAAACGCCAGGAATTGATATATATATTAAAACCCTATTTTAGGATTTAAGTCGTACTTGGTGTGAGTTTGTGCAAAAATCGCCAACAAAACATCATTTTAGAAAAATGACCATAAAGACAAAAATATTCTTCATCAAATTTTACTATAAGTCACCAAAGAAAGGATATGTATATTTCCATTGCATAACTAAAAAAATTTGCATCAAAGTTCCGAAAAAATCCTAATCCTAAATCCTGTTGGAATGTCCAAGGTCTGCGGCAAAAATTTTTGCGTGCCCAAGTCTGTAATACACCCTCCAGAATATTTTCGCGATAATATTCGGCATTTGCCACGGTCGATTAATACGTGCGGAGAGCAACCATCGGCTGTTATGACGGCCCACACCATCACCATGGTCGGCGCTTGAGTTCTGGTGGCCAACCGAAGTTGCACTTTTTCAGCTGACCTCTTTGGCAAGTAAACACGATAATTTTGATCACTCTAGCTTCCGAACGAAATGAAGTGGGTTGATAAAATTTTGCTCAAATGTATATTATGTCTGCAGGACTTTTAGTATTCACAACGGGTGAGATAGGTCCACGTTTTGGTATAGTACCTTAGTATATGGTACCTTCCTTTTTTTCGTAACTTTGATGATTTTAGCCACATAATTCACCACAGTTGTTTCAAATTTGTTATTTGAAATTCGTAATGGATACTGCAGCCTATGACAGAAAATTGTCTGTGCAGGACCACGTATTCATATAGCCCCCATATAACGGTACCTTTCGCATTTGAATATTGTAATTGTTTATGCAGGTTTACGTAGTCGTATAATATAACGGCTACATTCGGTATTTTTAAGATTTTAACAGAATTTTTAACAGATTTTTTTTTTGAAAATTGCCAAAATCGTTCCAAATGATGGAGGGTATTCGAAGATCGAAGATTACAGCTTTATTACTTGTCAAAATAAAATTTATAATTAGATATTAACAACAAAAATCTACCTATCATAACAAACATTTATTGATTTCGTTTTGGCATAATTTTAAATTGTCTTTCTTTTTACACTTTATTTATTTTTTTTTTTTTTTGGCAAATATATATGTTTTTAAAAACTTATTTTATTTTGTGAATTATTTTTAAAAACCACAAATCACAGTCTATTTTTCATCTCTATTGTTTTCTTTTTTCTCATTATAGATCTATCTGTATGAATTTCTTGAACAGCGTAATTTGAATTTCCTTGATTTTTTTGAAAGTACAGGTGATGAAGGCGAAGATTCATCTGATGATGAGGATTAAATAAAAACAAAGAAAAAAGTAAAAACACAAAACGAATAATGGTTATATTATAAATGTATACAAAACACACAAAAAAAGGAAACAAAATTCAAAATCGTATGTGTATAATTTGGCATTAATATCTCTCTTTCTCTATCTATTAATATTAAAGAAAGAGAATTACATAACACAAAATATCAAAAAATATATTACAAAAAAACAAAGTATTCAATAGTATAAAGCAATGCTCTCAAAACTCAATATGGAAAACAAACTACTTAAGACCAAAAAAAATATCAAAAAACCAAAACAAAATCCGGAATTAAACCACAAAATAGTTAAAGGAAACAGATATTTCAATTATCAAAGAAAAAGTGAATGCTTTTTTCAAATATTTTTTTGCTCCTTCCATTATAACAACAACAACAAACCACACACCCTGTTTCAAACCCCCAAAAACAAAAGGCTTATGAAAACGATATTTAAAAAATATTAAAAATACAAATGGATGTCTATTATAGGATTAAAAAAAAAAAAACAAAAAAAAAAAAAAGAAACGATCACAGAAAAAAAACAAAGAAAGTAACATTTTTCGTCCTCTATGGAAACCTCTGATTTAAAGAAAAAAACACTCACCAATCGTATTACAAGTATATAAAAAAACAAACACTATGCAACGAAAATTATAAAAAAAAACCAAAAAAGCAATACTCCCAGTTTTGAAAAAAAATTAAAGAATTTATTTCTGATTTTTTCTCATTTGAGAAGTTTTAAGTTTTCTATGTACCTATCTATTTTTAATTGTTTATATGTTATAGCTATTTATGTTTAATTTGATACTTTTCCAAAAAAAGAAATATTTTTTTTTGTTAAAAATCTATAATTTTTGTTAAATGTTTTTAGTTTTATAAAACTTTAAAATATATATTTTTTGTTTCAATTTTGTTTAAAATTAAAGATAAGGAAATTTGTTTCAAATATTATTTTTTTAGGAAAATAAGAACATTTGTCAATGGCCCCTCCCAAGAGGCTTTAATTGAATCTAAATATTGTTTAAAGTTCAATTTATAAGGTATGTGATGGAGACCGAATTATATCGATTTGCCGCAACGGAAATGTGTATATTTTAGTTGCCATTAATGATAACTGTAAACACCTTTTGCACAATATATTATTTTAAATAACAATTTCAAAAACTTCAATTAAAATTTTTATAAAAAGTTTGGCCAATAGCCAAGTATTTGATTTGGAAAAAAACCTTTCAACCTTTTTTCTCGTTGCGATTTTTTTGTCAGGAAGATACCAGGCAACGATTTACAAACTTCTAATGGAGTTGAAATTAATATAATCAAATATTTATATAGAAAATATTTTCGGTTATCTTAAAATAAAAATACATCTATTTCCAATTCAAATGCTACAGAAATACTCCACTTTCATTACACACTGTATCCACCAACCCATAATTTCAATTTCTTCTACTTTTGATTTTTTTTACGACGATCATAGGCAACGATTTTAAATTTGTTCATGCATTTGAAATGAAAATAATCAAATATTTATATGGAAAAGATTTTAGATTATCTTGAAGTGAAAATGCCCCTCCTTTCCAATCCAAGTACTACAGAACTACCCCACTTTCTTTACACACCTGTATCCACCAACCCATAATTTCAATTTCTTCTACTTTTGATTTTTTATTGTCACGACGACCCTAGGCAACGATTTTCAAGTTTTTCATGCAGTTGAAATTAAAATAATCAAATATTTTTATGGAAAAGATTTTCGATTATTTTGAAATAAAAATGCATCTTTTCCCAATCCAAATACTACAGACCACTTTCATTACACACCTGTATCCGTGGACCCATAATTTAAATTTCTTCTACTTTCGTTTTTTTTTTGCCGAGGCGACCCTAGGCAACGATTTTAAAAATTTCTCATGCAGTTGAAATAAAAATAATAACTTTCTTTTGAAAAAGAATGCTTCAATATTTTTCGATTTTATTGAAATATAATTGGCACTTTTACAATTCCAAGTATTGTCGAAATATTCCATGGGAATAACAATGAAAGAGGAAGAGTTCCTTTAAAAAGAACTGTGAAGAAAATTGATTTTCGTAATCGAAGTTTTTGATGTCAAAGGCTTAAAATCGGCGCTCCATTTCAGATCCGTGTAACTAAAGGGGACATTTTTTTTCAATTTTCCAAATTCTGAAATGAACACTTTTTTCTTGCGAACCAAAACTTTGATCCATTTGAAAATTCGTTTTTACTTTTCTGCCCCGTAAGAAGGCAAATCAAATTTAGAGGATAAGATAAAGATTTTTGTAGAAGATCTGTTAATATCTATAAACTATTCTTTAATGTCAAAGACTAAGTCTTATTAAAATTCTTGTGCCTTTTCAGATCCGTGTAACTAAAGGAGGCAGTTTTATAATTCATCTTTAAAATTTTTTCTTTTAATTTTTCAAAATCGTCGATTTATTTTTGATCCGAGTAACTAAAGGGGACATTTTTTAAATTGTCCTCATAGTTGTTTTTTAATTTTTCAAATTCTGAAAGAATACTTTTTTCTTGCGAACCAAAAACTTTGGTCTATTGGAAAATTAGTTTTTGGTTTCCTGTCGCCTAAGAAGGCAAATCAAATTTCGAGAATGATTTTTGTAGAAGATCTGTAAATATCTATAAAAAATATTTGCAAGATCTTCAATAGGTAGAAGAGGCGGTATCTTCTATTCACAGAGGGTCGATGCAAGACCTCCAGTCTATGAATGAGGGTTCATGCAAAACCTCCTGTCAATGAATGAATTATAGAAACATTTCTTACAAGTTCATACATTTATGGAGACCGTTTTGAAGATTTTTTTTTAGCAGCAGAGGGTTAAATTCCCTTCATTACTTCTCTAAATATTTTAGATTAGATGGAGGTTCTGTCATTAGAATAAAAATCTTACAAATTTTGATATTCCTTTAAAATTTGTGAAATATATTTTCTTTGTTTTTTTTTGTGGTTTAGATCATATTTTTTTGTTAAAACTTATTGCAGTTAAAATCAAAATTTCTTACTCATTTTTCAGTCTGTTCCAGAACCTGCAAGAATGTATAAGCTTTGCAATATTTTTCGATATCATAAAGGGAAAATGGGTTATCGTAGTATAAAGTTTTACATTCTTTCAGCTCTGAAACAGACCAATTGTTTTCCCTTTGAAAATTTTCCTTTTTTCTTTTGTGGTTTAGTTTTCTTTTTGTTAAAATTATTTAGAGTAAAAAAACAAAAAAAAAAAACGGTGTTTGTTTTAAGACATAATCACAATATTCCATTGTAATTTCTTTTTTTATGTTATTTATCATGTAATCCCCCACCCCAATTCTTCATCCCCCACCCCCTTAACTCATACTTAATATTATATATATTTACCCAATATTGTTCTATTTGTTTTTTTTTTATGGTTTAAAGAAAAAAGATGTGTTAAAAAAATTATAATTTTTATTATGTTCTAATTTTGTTTTCCTTTAAGTAATATAGAAGAAAAAAACAAACCAACCTTGTTAATTGTTAAAACAAAAAACTAATGCCATTGTAAAGAAGAAAAAAATAATATATACTAAAATACGTTTACTATCCCCACAAATTGTTTTCTTTGTAAAACAGCCTTAAAACTGTGAAATATATATAAATGCAAATTTTCTTAAAAAATTAAAGAATAATAAAAATCAATTACAAAACAAGAACACATAAATGCCTAACAAAAAAATAGTATAATAATTTCTTTTTTTTACAATATAAAACCTTGCAAACAAAATATAGTGTATACCAAATAAACCGGAAGTCTTCTATGGTTTTGTGAATCTCTTTATTATTGTTAATTTTCTAAAATAAAAACATTTTGTTTAACTGTCTTTTAAGTTATCAAAATATATCTTAAAAAAAAACAATAACACAATATATACTACTTAAAAAAACAATATATATTATATTTAATGCAAACAAATGTCAGAAGGAAAAACAAAAACATTAATAATTCCTTGTAACAAACAAGGCAAGCAAGAAAAACAAACAACCAACCAACCAACAACAAAACTAAAATGCTAACATTTCAAAATACCTCTTTAAAACAAACAAACAAAATACAATGTAATACAAAACAAAAAACAAAACAAAAGAAAACATAAATGTTTACTACTACCACTACTACTACTACAAAGAAATAAAAGAAATATTTGTTCAAATTAACCTACAAAAACAAAAAAAAAACGAAAAAACAAAAACCTAACAAATATTACCTAATTATTATTAGTTTTTTTTATTATTATTATTTTTTATAAATATATTAAACACCACTATATTTGTAATGTTATTATAATTTTTTTATTAGTATTTAAAAAAAACAAAAACATATAATTGAAACAATACAATTTATATTCAATAACAACAACAACATATATCAAAAAACAAAAGCAAAATTTGACAAAAAACATATTAATTAAAGACAAAAATACTAAAAACAAACAAACAAATACCAACAATACCTACAAAACGTGGTTTTAAATCTGATTTTTTTTTTATTAAATCTAAACAAACAAAAAATTTATAATTATAGGCTTAGCTTATGTAATGAGATAACTATACGTGATACAAACAAAACAAAACAAAAAACAACAACAACAAAATATTTAAAAAAAAATATTAAAATTAAAATGATCATAAACATTGGATATTCAAAACACAACCTGGAATTATTTTTATTCATTTTTCGATATTAATTAAATTTGATTTCAAATTTGCACATGGATTGAAGGAGCGGGACATAATAGAAACAAAATGAAAGCAACTCCTTATGGACCACAAAAAGCAAATTTGTTAGACCTAAAATAGAAACAGGATGCTATTGGGGCGTGGAATTTTTAAATTAATCTATAGGGGCATGGATTTTATTAAATACTTTTGTAAAGCCTATGAAGGGTCTCGATTTTGTACAAATTCCGTTTTAATTCCTGTTAGGGGGGTAATTTTTTTAAATTTATTTTTTTAAGACCTTTAGTGCATGGATTTTTTTACCCTCCATCCTATAAAGGAGGGAATGTTTGAACGTTTGAAACACCTCCAAATATTTGTCGAGGACCCCATAAAGAAGATTTATTCATGGCCAGCATAAAATTCTAAGACGATTTAACGGAAAAAAACGAAAAAAAAAAATACTTGGGAGGTTGTAAGATATTTTTTTAGATAATTTTGCTTAAACATTTATTTTTTTTTCTTTTTCATAACCCTTTGAAATGCTTTCGAAAGGCATTTCTAGCTGCATCGGTGGTGTGGAACATATAATAAAAAAAAAAAATAAAAAATAAAAAAAACTTTAAGACCTCTAATATGTAGATTTTATTGAGGACCAACAAGGTTCCTTTAAAAGACCAGTGTAAAAGTCGCAGACTTTTTAGGATAAATGTAGTTCTGAGTCTTTTTATATGCGATTTGCTATATTCTTAAAGGGGTCCTGTATCGACGACCAAAAATCAGACAGTCCTTAGAGATGTTTGCCCTCTAAATGTCGAGGACTTTTCTATCCCTATTTGGGGCGTGTATTTTTATACCATCCACCTTGGAAAGGAGGGTATATTAACTTTGTCATTCCGTTTGTAACATCCCTAAATATTCGTCGTAGACCTCATAAAGTCTATATATTTATAATGAGCATAAAATTCTAAGTCGATTTAACGATGTCCGTCTGTTTGTCCGTCTGTTTGTTTGTCCGTCTGTTGAAATCACGACACAGCCCACATTATCTGACGCAAAATTTAGCAGAACAATTTGTATTGTATCTAGGATGGTTGGTATTGAAAATGAGATATATTGGTCCACGTTTTGGTATAGTCTCCATATAACGGTACCTCCCGATATTCGGTATTTAGATTATTGTTGCCACGTTTTTTCTCAGATTTGTCTAAAAATTGGTATTTGTTGCTCATAATGGGTTCTGGCTGCGGTGGCGAAACATTGTATGTATAGGTTCACGTTTTTGTATAGCCCCATATAGCTGTACCTCCCGATAATCGGTATTTTGATCATTTTTGCAACATTTTCCCACGAATATGTCTTAAAATTGGTATTTCTAGGTCATAATTGGTTCTAATGGTTCCTTTACCCTAAGGTGGAGGGTATTAAAAGTTCGTCCCAGGCGAACTTAGTGTTTTTTTTACTTGTTTTTCGAATATTTTTACTAACACAGGATCTTGTGTGAAGATGATATATATCGGCCCACCCCTTCTAGTACCTCTCTCACAAACGCTCTAGTAGACTTTTACACTTAAAATATGTTTTTGAGGTCTTCCACACCTTGAAGTCCATTTGGGGATTTTTGTAGACCTTTTAAGGGCCGAGTTACCCTTAGAGGTATTATTCAGGCAAACCAAATTTTTTTTCTGTAGACAGGACAGGATCGGATCAGAAAGTATATTGGTTTGCTGATCTGCAGAGGGGTATGGTATTGTCCCGTGGTGTTTTTTTATAAATATCTTTTCTAGTAAAAACAAGCCCAAAAGCTAATTTGTAATCTAATCTTTGTAAGGAGACGATTCCACAGAGAAGAAAGAGAAAAAAAAACACATTATTTGTATGTATGGTATATTGAGCCTAAAGAAGCTTAGTAGAAAATGGTTATGGTGGTATAGGTTTCCATTCCAGCAAATCCCTGAAAGAATATGAAAAGCGATTCCTTGTAGATAGGCATACTTTTCTTTAAATCAATGAGAGGGGGTATTATTGCTATAGTTCGTACCGGTATCCTGGAGATGGATGCCTTATTCCACCCGACTCTTCGAGACATGTGCAAAGATTTTGCAAAAAGTAGCTTCACTAAATTCATATTTTCATAAATTCGAAAAAATTACAAAAAATATTAAAATATTTTTTTTTCTTAATTATTTTTTAATAAACGAGACATGTGCGGGGAAAATTAGCTTCAATAATTTCATAAAAAAGTATTTTCATAAATTGAAAAAAAATTGCAAAAATAAGAAATATTTTTTCTAGTTTTTTTAATTATTAAAATTTTTTTTTATTTACTTATTGGGTTTTTCGTATCTTCCTACAATTGGAATTTCTTTTAAAAACTCAATAAAAAATAATCAAAAAATATCTAAAGATGGAAAACCAATTTCCAATGGCGGGATGGAAGGAGGCCTAAGGTGTAACTACTCCTAGGATCTTTGCCGATACTTAAGACGGCACATCAAAAAATAATACTTTTTTGTGGTTATTGGCCTTGAGAAGTAGCCGCCTTCCCCCTTCAATTCTAATATTAACAAATAATGAAAATCATGAAACCAAGAAAAACTCAAAATTAGTATATAGTAAAATAAAACAAAAAAAAAACAACAACAAGCAAAAACTTACCACCCAAATTTCAAAAAACAAGTAAACAATTTAGTAGGGAAACATATAAAATGTATTAATTAAATAAGAAATAGAATTATTAACAAAAATAACTAATACGATATGAAATGATTTCATTTACCTAACAAGACTTCTTAAAAAAAACCAACAAACAAACCAACCAACTATTACTACTACAACAACTTCACAACAATAACAGAAAACAATATTATTATTTTATTAAATAGATTAAAAATAGAAAAAAACTAAAAATAATTAACTATTGATCTACAAAAAAGCAATTCAAATAAAAGAATAACAAGACACTATGTGAAACATCCTGCCTTCACTTTCATGTCAAAGCTGTTCAAAAGAAGGGGGACAAAAAGAATGAAGACCTTATAAAGATAACCAAAAAAGGAGGTACCTTTGACAACTCATAGGGAATTCTTACTAGAAAATGGCAAAACTCCGCTAGAGATTGTTTGAGGTTACATCAATAATCCCGAAGGAATCTATTATAAATACAAAAGGGGACAAAAAATAAAGTTCTTGTGAAATTGAGTCTAGAAAGGGGTCTTTTTCTCATCGGTGAAGTTTTCCATCGGAAAATTTCACATTTTTGAAATTTTCCATAGCAAAATTTAACATCGGTGAAGTTTTCCATCGGAAAATTTTACATCGTTGAAGTTTTCCATAGGAAAATTTCACATCGGTGAAGTTTTCCATAGGAAAATTTCACATCGGTGAAGTTTTCCATGGGAAAATTTCACATCGGTGAAGTTTTCCCTGGGAAAATTTCACATCGGTAAAGTTGTCCATAGGAGAATTTCACATCAGTGAAGTTTTTCATAGGAAAATTTCATATCAATGAAGTTTTCCATAGGAAAATTTCACATCAATGAAGTTTTCCATAGGAAAATTTCACATCAGTAAATTTTTCCATAGGAAAATTTCACATCAGTAAAGTTTTCCATGGGAACATTTCACATCATTGAAGTTTTCCATGGGAACATTTCACATCATTGAAGTTTTCCATTGGAAAATTTCAAATCGGTGAAGTTTTCCCTGGGAAAATTTCACATCGGTGAAGTTTTTCATGGGAAAATTTCACATCGGTAAAGTTTTCCATAGGAACATTTCACATCATTGAAGTTTTCCATAGGAAAATTTCACATCGGTGTAGTTTTCCATAGGAAAATTTCACATCGGTGAGGTTTTCCATATGAAAATTTCACATCGGTGAAATTGGTGACTAAAAATGGATCTCCCAATAGAAGGCCCCCATTTAGTGTCGGCTTAGGAAGTTTTTGAATTGGAAATTTTTACAAGGCAATGAAAATAGCTACTAGTTTTAAAAGAAAAATCTAACAACACTTTGCTGAAATTCAAAAACAAGTTTCATACACACCCAAAACAGACTTATTTATAATAATGAATGTTATACAACTTCTAAAAAAAACTAGAATTGAAAAAAATAGCTTATAATCCATTTATTTTTTGAAATCCATCAATGGTTTTGGAATTATATTTTTTAAAAACTCTCAAATAAGGTATAAGGTTTTAAACAGCTCTAAATGGTTAACTTTTATTAATTTTTGTAAATCATAGAAGTAAAACGGAAATATTAAAAACAAACTCAATATTAGCTTCCTCTTTACTTTGTTTTTCCTTATATGTATGTCTGCCAATGT